GGAACTATATTAAACTAATCACTTATGACCCTTTTGTTATGAAAAAGCATGGTTTAACACCTTAAGTCAACTACTAAAGGGGCTGGACAGGAAGGTTAAAAGGAAGAAACAATTATGCCTCAAAGCACCAGCTAGTATCGAAGAACAAAAGATGGGAATACATAACGACTGACTTACGAGATACAAGAAAAGATATACTAAGAATGCATCGCTAACTTAAGCCAAAACGAAATGGTACTCACGTGATGTTATAACAAATCAAGGTTGTGAAGAAAGTACATTATCATTTACCAGATGAACAACTCCAACATTGAATAAAATTTCAAAATTTTTGATTAATGAATAACACCAAAACAGATCAAACCACACTCAGAAAGCAAAGGAACAATCAGATTCTCGGCCACATTTTCGAAAGCGAAACATTTTTTATATGAAAAGCAAGATACATAATTAGGAATAGATTAACTACGAGCGAATGATCCGAGTTAAAATAAGACTAAGGTGAATTGTAAACATGATATCACGAGTTGAAGACGCAAAACTGACATGAACAGTATTCGAGTTAAACAAGAACATAGATTAATACTACGGGATTAGACTAGCGATGGTAGTAATCTATAACGATGAATCAGACAACAGAGAAAAAAAAATAAAATTCGGCTAAACGATGAAAAGACAGAACTATATAGCTTAATGCATTCGAAGTCGAAACTAAATGAACCGCAAAAGAACTTCACTGATATTTACTTCATGCTCACAGTCCCAACAACTCACAGGAGAAAACGAAACTGAAAGCAAAAGACTAAAACAAAGAAATCAACTAATTCTAATAATTGGACTCCACTAGATATTGAACACATAACACACACTACATAGAAAACATAATGCAAGAAAGGGCGAGATTACCTCAATTGGAGCAGCGAACCGGGACAGCGAACTAGACCATGAAGCTTTTACACCACTGTGACCTTAACTCGAGCAAGAAGAAAATTGATACAAAAATAGCTCTCAATTTTTCGTCCTCTTGATAAAAATAAACATATATATTTTATTTTATTTTAGAATGTAAAATCTTCCCCCATCACAGTGGAAGGATAGGGGTATATATAGGGGAGATTCGAATTGAGAAAGGTGGGAAAACAAGTGGAAAGGAAGAATTTGAATTCGAAATTCAAGTTCTCTTTTCGAAGCAACAGTGGAAGGAATGGGAAATCCCTGAAAATGGGGAAAAGGGAACATGAGGGGTTATGGGTTCGCAGAGTAGTTGGGATTTTCGCTGGATTTCTGGGTTTGCGTCTGGAAGAAGAAGAAGACGCGTACTGGGTCGGGTCGGGGTACTGTTTCCGCGTGAAAAGGAAGAAGAACGAAGAGTACAGGGGTTGGGGTACTGTATGTACGTATTGCTACTGTATTGTATTGGAGGGTTTTGGATTAAAATTAGTGGGCTGGTTTCTTTTGTAAGGGATTTGAAAATGGGCTGCAGGAGTTGGAAATTGAAGAAGTGGTATTGGGCCGGTTGAAGGGTAATGGAAAAAGGCCCAAATTTGATTTCTTAAAGGTTTTAAAGGAGGTAAAATAAAAATGACTAAAATCATAAAAAAGAAATATAGCCAAATTGATTTTAATTTGCAAAAGGCTAAAAGCTAAATAAGACGAATTAATATAATTAATTAACGAGTTTCTTAATCTTAACAAAAAAAATAAAATAATTAATTAGATTATAAACTAATTAATTTAATTACAAAACTAATTAATTTAATTACAAAACTAATTAACTCGAAATTATAACTATAACTTAAATTAAATTAAACTAATAAAATATTTAACTCAAAATTGTAAAATTTTTTTTGATGATTTTCAAATATTTATAAAATAACATGATTGTAGAAATAGACATATTCAATATTTAAAATGATTACAAAAAGACAAAATTACTTTTTAAAAATAACTTGCAAGTATTTTGAATTTCATAAAATTCATTAATTCAAAATTACAACCATCACTAATAAATATTAAAATATAAAATCTTTTTGAGATTCATAAAATTCATTAATTCAAAATTACAACCATCACTAATAAATATTAGACTATAAAATCTTTTTGAGATTCATAAAATTCATTAATTCAAAATTACAACCATCACTAATAAATATTAGACTATAAAATCTTTTTGAGATTCATAAAATTCATTAATTCAAAATTACAACCATCACTAATAAATATTAGAATATAAAATATTTTTGAGATGATTTTTAAATATTCATAAAATACATTAATCATATACACAATTATATAAAACATATATATTATTTAAAAATTACAAGAGTGACAAAACTATTTAAAATAATTTGTAAACTATATATTATTTTTTTAAGTTTTTATAAAACTAATTATTTTAAATCGTTTGAAATTGAAGAAGCTCGATAATTAATTTATATTGTGGAGGGTCAAAATTGGCTGTCAACAGCTGTCCCTCGTTTGACTTGGATTGATGAAAGGAATTCGAGGCAAATGAAATTGACGAATCCAATTTTGACCGACCACATTCGTCTTTAGGAAAAGGATTTTGGTACGGACTTTAGGAATTATGGCTGAACCTCGGTATCAGGTTTCCAACATACCTCAGGCTATGTGAGAATTCAGGCCACTTGTAGTTTGATACGCTTGATTTCACGCACGATTTAAAAAGAATTCAAAAGTCATCCCAATACTGAATTATGAAAGCACCAGAATGCTCGAGAATAAGGTTTAAGAGTGAAGGTTGGAACACAACCGAGTTTCACCATTGATCCCGCCTACATATTCCTCAACTTAGGAAATCAGGTTGCTTGTAGTTCGACTCAATCGATTGAAAAGGAAATCTATTATGCAAGATATCCTTTGGTTCTAGAGGAGTGACAAGTAAGTCGAGTATGAAAAAGAGGCTTGTAACCTCTTAGCCATGAATGTGGAGCTCTTCACATCCATAAGTAAGAACTTACATGGACATAATTTCCAAAGCTCTTGGTACATTGTCACTCAGATTGGAAATTTGCTTCCGGAGGAAATATAAAATTTCCGGATGTGAAACTGAAACCGACAAACTCAAAGATAAACCCACATGCCTTCTGATAGGGTGTGGTTTGATTGGTGGTGGAAGTCGCTCCTTTGCTCGCGTCCTAAGAGTTTGGCACTCCTCTTTGGACTATGTCCCAGTTCGCTGCTAAGAAAAAGTTCCACGTCGTGCTGCATCTTTTTTTATGTCGTCCGCACCTGTGGTTTGTTTTGGAGAATTCATCCTTTCGGATGCTTTCGACAAAGACTGAGATAAAACTCATTAGCATAAAAATACAATTCAAATGGGAGACAGTGTCTTTTACCATGTTGACACTTAATTGTTCTCCTTGATTATTTGGCGTCAATTCCATCGGGTTTGAAGTAAAGCAAATAAAGCTTGTGTCTCATATTTGCGAAATGACTCTTCACTGTACTCTTCTTCTAATATCGAAGTACTAATGTAATATGTTGATGGTTCTCTTAATGGTTGAATATGATGGCCCTCTTCGCGGCTTGAATATGCAATGGCCCTCTTGGCATTTTGAATATAAATGGCCCTCTTGGCTGTTTTGAATATAAATGTCCCTTTTGTCAATTTGAATGTGAATGGCCCTCTCAGCAGTTTGAATATAAATGGCCCTCTCGGCAATTTGAATATAAATGGCCCTCTCGGCAATTTAAATATGAATGGCCCTCTCGGCAATTTAAATATGAATGACCTTCTTGGCAATTTAATATGCAATGGCCCTCTCGGCAATTTGAATATGAACGACCTTCTCGGCAATTTGAATATGAATGGCCCTCTTGGCAATTTGAATATGAATGGCCTTCTCGGCAATTTGAATATAAATGGCCCTCTCGGCAATTTAAATATGAATGGCCCTCTCAGCAATTTAAATATGAATGGCCTTCTTGGCAATTTAATATGCAATGGCCCTCTCGGCAATTTGAATATGAACGGCCTTCTCGGCAATTTGAATATGAATGGCCCTCTTGGCAATTTGAATATGAATGGCCTTCTCGGCAATTTGAATATGAATGGCCTTCTCGGCAACTTGAATATGAATGGCCCTCTCGGCAATTTGAATATGAATGGCCCTCTCGGCAATTTGAATATGAAGGGCCCTCTTGGCAATTTAATATGCGATGTCCTCTCGGTAATTTAAATATGAATGGCCCTCTCGGCAATTTGAACATAAATAGCGTCCTCGGCAATTTGAATATGAATGGCCTTTTTGGCAATTTGAATATGAATGGCCCTCTTGGCAATATAAATATGAATGGCCCTCTCGGCAATTTAAATATGAATGGCCCTCTCGGCAATTTGAATATAAATAGCCTTCTCGGCAATTTGAATATGAATGGCCTTCTTGGCAATTTGAATATGAATGGCCCTCTTGGCAATATAAATATGAATGGCCCTCTCGGCAATTTAAATATGAATGGCTATGAACGTCGTCTTTCATCAATATTTGATATAATGATAGGTACTTTTTCATAACATCATTTTCATCGGTATCTCGCAACCTTAAGTGGTAGATACTCTCTTTTAATCTGTCAAATACTTCTTTGATCCAATGAAGATGTTACACTCACTAATAGATATTCGCTGGATATGTTCTCTTGAACTGGTTGGTTGGTAAACATAGTTCATTTGATGATCTCATTATACCCTGCATCCACAAAAACATGTTAGTTTTGGAACACTGATCTGTGTTGAAGTCGCCTTGCTCCTGGTCTCGTTATCTCTGGAACTTTGTCTGGTAGGTCCAATGAATTGCAGTAGACAAAAGACAAGATCATATTAAAACATTTGCTAGGTATGAAGTTTTTATAAAAAACAGTTTTAAAGAAAATCTCTGCCAATTAATTGTCACGACATGCACGACACGAACAAAACCCTTTGTCTCAGAATTTGATATGACAGGTAGCTTGCTGGCAACTTAAAACCCTTTAAGAACACGTCAATTCGAGGCGATTGAAGTTGACTTCGAAGGTCCGAGTATCCTTGATGGAATTTTTGAGGTCCTTCTCAAAAATTCTGTCCCAGTTAGATGTTTCAAAAACAAATCTGATGATGATCACGGGAGTCTCGCATTTGAGATCTCCTCAAAATTATCCCTAGTTGCACATTTCGATATGATTCTTGAGTCTTGTTTGTAGGAAATGACTCTTGTTGTGGAATTTTTGAGGTCCTCTCAAAAATTTTGTCCCAGTTTCCATTGTGAGGGGAAATGGAAATCTTATTGGGAATATGACCGAACCCTTGTGGCGCCTACGTATCCCGTTGAGGCAGGAATCAGGTCAAACGTAGTTCCCATTTCGAGAAGTGACAAAAATAGAAAATTATATAAGGAAATGACCGAGGCCGACATACGCCGCCTACGTATCTCATTCTCGAGAATTCAGGTCGAACGTAGTTCAAGTACTAAGAAAACATTACAAATTGATAAATGGGTGACCGAGGCCGACATAGGCCGCCTACGTATCTCATTTTTGAGAATTCAGGTCAGACGTAGTTCATTGCAAGAGGGATAAAATCTAAAACGACGCGATTACAAGCAAAATAAAACGATTACAAGGAAATGACAAGAAAATACAAACTGAAGTTTCACACATAGTATCTCTTAATGGCATCTGAATTGATAGCTTTGCGCCACACCTGACCGTCCATCTCCGCTAGAACCAAAGCTCCTCTTGATAGTACTTTGTGGACAACATACGGTCCTTGCCAGTTAGGTGCAAACTTTCCTTTGTATTCGTCTTGATGAGGGAAAATGCGTTTCAACACCAATTGGCCTACCTCAAATGTTCGAACTCTTACTTTCTTATTGAAAGCACGAGTCATTCTCTGTTGATACAGCTGGCCATGACAAACGGCACTCATTCTTTTCTCATCAATCAGTGTCAATTGCTCATATCGGTCACGAATCCATTCGGCATCGCTCAATCCAGCTTCCTGAATAATCCTTAAAGATGGTATCTCAACTTCAGCTGGTATCACTGCTTCTGTTCCGTATACCAATAGGTAAGGGGTTGCTCCAGTTGAGGTTCGGATTGTGGTGCGATAGCCTAGCAAAGCATAAGGCAAATTTTCATGCCAACATTTGTAGTTGTCAATCATCTTTCTCAGTATCCTCTTGATATTCTTATTAGCAGCTTCTACAGCTCCATTCATCTGAGGACGATATGCAGTTGAATTACGGTGGGAAATTTTGAATTGTTCACATATCTCTTTCATCAAGTGACTATTCAGATTTGCTCCATTGTCTGTGATGATAGACTCTGGAACTCCAAAACGACATATCAAATTGTTGCGAACAAAATCGGCCACAACTTTCTTTGTCACAGCTTTGTAGGAAGCAGCTTCGACCCACTTTGTGAAGTAATCAATGGCGACCAAAATGAACCTATGACCATTGGAAGCAGCAGGCTCAATCGGTCCAATAACATCCATGCCCCAGGCTGCAAATGGCCAAGGGGAACTCATCGCATTGAGCTCGTGGGGTGGTACTTTGATCAGATCTCCGTGTACCTGGCATTTATGACATTTTTGGACAAACCGGCCACAATCATTTTCCATAGTCATCCAGAAGTATCCCGCCCTTAAGATTTTCTTTGCTAATGTAAGCCCATTCATGTGTGTCCCACACACTCCAGCGTGCATTTCTTCAAGCAATTTTGTGGCTTCTGCAGCATCCACACATCTCAGTAATCCCAGATCGGGTGTCCTCTTATAAAGAACTTCTCCATTCAAGAAGAAGTTGTTTGCCATTCTTCGGATTGTTTTCTTCTGAATACTTGTTGCCTTTTCTGGATATTCGCCAACCTCTAAGTATTTTTTCACATCGATATACCATGGATTCCCATCCCATTCTGCTTCCACATGTGAACAATGTGCTGGTTGTTCTTTTAAAACTATCTCAATTGGATCGATATAACTCTTTTCTGGATGTTGTATCATGGACGATATGGTTGCAAGGGCGTCAGCAAGCTCGTTCTGTATTCTTGGTGTGTGTCTGAACTCGGTCTTCCTAAATCTTTTGCATAATCTCTGTACCAATTGTACGTATGGTAAGATTTTAGGATTCTTCACTGCCCATTCTCCTTGAACTTGATGAATCAACAAGTCTGAATCACCAATTATGAGTAATTCTTGAACATTCATGTCAAGAGCCATTCTAATGCCAAGAATACATGCTTCATACTCAGCCATATTATTAGTGCATCGGAATCTAAGCTTTGCTGTTGCTGGATAATGCTGCCCAGGGAAATATGTTCTAAGCGGTTCATATTCATCATCTACTGGGTTTTCGGCAAGGTGATCGGCTAAAGCTTGCCCCTTGATTGCTTTCTGAGTCATGTACACAATATCAAACTCACTCAACAACATTTGCCACTTTGCTAGCTTTCCTATGGGCATTGCTTTTTGAAATATGTACTTAAGCGGATCCATCCTCGAAATGAGATGTGTTGTATAAGCCGACAGATAATGTCTCAATTTCTGAGCAACCCAAGTCAAAGCACAACAAGTTCTCTCTAAAAGGGTGTAACGGGCCTCATAGGATGTGAACTTCTTGCTCAAATAGTATATAGCTCTCTCCTTTCTTCCGGTCTCATCATGTTGTCCCAACACACACCCGAATGCATTGTCTGAGACGGATAAATACAATAGCAAAGGACTGCCTGCACGTGGTGGCACCAACACTGGTGGATTCGAAAGGTAGCTTTTAATGGTGTCAAAAGCCTTCTGACATTCTTCGGTCCATTTGGTTGGCGCATCTTTTCGTAGTAACTTGAATATGGGCTCACATATCACCGTCGATTGAGCTATGAATCGACTGATGTAATTCAGTCTCCCCAGAAAACTCATTACTTCCTTCTTAGTCTTTGGAGGAGGTAAGTCTTGAATTGCCTTGATCTTGGAAGGATCAAGCTCGATACCTCTTCTGCTAACTATGAATCCGAGTAACTTCCCTGCAGGCACTCCAAATGCACATTTGGCTGGATTCAACTTCAAATCATACCTACGTAACCTGTTAAAGAACTTTTCCAAGTGTGTCAGGTGATTTGAACTCTCGCGGGATTTTATGATGACATCGTCCACATACACCTCAATTTCTTTGTGGATCATATCATGGAAAATGGTGGTCATAGCTCTCATGTAGGTGGCTCCAGCATTCTTGAGGCCGAACGGCATCACTCGATAATGGTAGACTCCCCAAGGTGTGATGAATGCTGTTTTTTCTGCATCATCTTCATCCATTAGAATCTGGTGGTATCCCGCAAAGCAATCTACAAAAGATTGCAGCTCATGCTTAGCGCAATTATCGATGAGTATGTGGATGTTTGGCAAAGGGAAATTATCCTTCGGACTTGCTTTGTTGAGATCCCGATAATCCACGCATATCCTGATTTTTCCATCTTTCTTTGCCACTGGAACAATGTTAGCCAACCATGTGGGATACTTGGTCACTTCAACGACTTTTGATTCGATCTGCTTCATGACCTCCTCTTTTATCCTTAAACTCAGATCGGGTTTGAACTTTCTGGTTTTCTGTTTTACTGGGCAGTACTCTGAATTGATAGGCAGCTTATGGGAAACAATATCAGTGCTTAACCCTGGCATATCATCATAAGACCAGGCAAACACATCGATGTATTGTCTGAGCAGCTTGACCAATTCTTCTCTTTCTGTTGCTGCCAAATGAACACTGACTCGGGTTTCTCTTATCGACTCGTCATCTCCCAAGTTTACTGTCTCTGTTTCATCCAGGTTGGGCTTTTTATCGTCTTCAAGTTGCCTCAAGTCCTCGGTAAGGTGTTCAGGCATCATAGTTTCCTCATCATATTCTTCACACTCATCGTCATCGACCTTACTTGGTTCGCCGTGTTCGTGACATGTCATGACATTGGCAGGTTTATATTCATTTTTACTGAAAAGAACAACAAATCAACCATGTTAGATGGAAAGAGTTTAAATGTATTTGTTGCAGAATAATTTGCAATGACAAGATAATCAATTTAAAATAAACGAGGCTTTCATTGGAATTTTAAAAAGGCGTACAAACTTTGGTCACGACTCATGAGTCATTTCCTTTTTAAACATTACGATGAAAAATAAAGTGACATAAATGGTGGTTTCGGGCCTCGTCCGAACAACACCGATTTTCAAAAATAAACTTCAAATCTTGTCTTTGTCTACCAAGCCATTCGATGGATCATAAGTGGAGTGGCCATCCAATTCTGCAGCATCTCTCCAGGATCGGCATCTCGAATGGTGGGTGTTGTTGTGCATTCTGCCGAGATCACAGCACAATCTTCTTCATCAAACAATCTTCCCATCCCTTCCACTAGACCATCAATCTCAGGCTCTAAAGCTTTAGCAACAAATGACTGGTACAATACTGGAATAGGCTTCGGTATATCACAGTCATGTTTCTTCCTTATTTCTGCTTCAAACAATTCTTCCCCTGTTGGGGCATAACCGATACCGAATCGGAAATTTTGAAGTGGTATGGGAAGAGGTTCGGATATGCCATCCAAATTCTTGCCTAACCCACGCCCAGGTTCAAAACCACTTCTCAGCATAGTTGCAGCTAACATTTTATACACTGGCGGCATTGGTACTTGCAGTGTCGTGTCTTCAAAAGCAGCATTCATTATCTCCACCATGTGAAAGTCAGTACCCTGAGAAGACTCTTCAATAACTGGAATGGAGAAACCAGGGTAACTATGATTACTCCCTTCACCATGGATGACAATTTCATGGCCCTCCCAGATGAACTTCAAAAGTTGATGCAATGTGGATGGAACTGCTCCAACAGCATGGATCCATGGTCTTCCTAGCAATAAGTTGTAACTTGTAGATATACCCATCACCTGGAATTCAGTGACAAATTCTGCAGGCCCCATTTGGATACACAAGTCTACTTCTCCCATGGTCTCTCTTTGCGAACCATCAAACGCCCTTACATTCATGCGGCTTTGACGGATTTTCCCTACATCATAATTTAGCTGAGTAAGGGTTGATAATGGGCAGATATTAAGTCCTGAGCCATTATCAATCAATACTCGCGCTACAAACTTGTCCCTGCATTTGACAGTGATATATAAGGCACGGTTGTGCATAACCCCTTCGAGTGGCAACTCTTCTTCTCGGAAAGAGATTTGATGACTCCCAATGACATGACTTACCATGGTGGCCAGATTTTCACCACTTGTTCCTGTCGGCACGTATGCTTCATCAAGTACCTTCAACAGTGCTTTTCGATGGTACTCAGAACTCATTAATAGAGCCCAAACAGAAATTTGAGCGGGAGTCTTCTCCAAATGCTTGACAATGGAATACTCCTTAGGCTGCATTCTTCGCCAAAACTCTTCAGCCTCACCTTCTGTGATCGGCCTTTTCTGGTTCTCCTTTCTTCGTGTCTCCTGAGTTAGTTCTTCTGGAATGTAGCATCTTCCAGAGCGTGTCATCCCTTGTGCGGTAGCCGCCTGCACGACAAACTTTTCTTTGGACTGTTCATTGCTTATTTCCTTCACCGAAGCAAATGCCTGATGAGGTGCAGTTATTACAACAAACTCTGGACGGGCCTTTATGGTCAATGAGGCCACTGTTGGTATGAGTGAGTTGGCAACTGCTTCACCAATAGTCCCATTAGTAAACCAATCTTCGTCTTTTTCAATCATGTTGATGGTAGCTCCTCCATGATTCGGCAATGGGTTAAGGTTCACATTGGGGGCAGGGGCTTGGAGAGTGATGACCCTGTTATCGATCAAGTCTTGAATCTTATGTTTCAGATTGATACATCCTTCTGTATCATGCCCTGCCCCTCCTGAATGGTACGCACAACGTTGATCTGCGCGGAAGAACTTTGTTGTGGGATTAATTGCCCTTGCGTCTACTGGTTGGATCAATCCTGCCGCTCTTAGACGCTCAAAGAGTTGAGTACGTGTTTCTGCCAAAGGAGTGAAAACTCTGGGAGGCTTTCTTTCGAGGTTAGGACGGGGTAGATTGTTGGCATTTGAGTTGTTTTGTCCGGGATTTTGGTAGACTGGTGCATTGGCTTGGTGATTTGGTAGTGTATTTTGGTAGGTTAGTGGTTGGTTTTGGTAGATGGGCGGTGGTGCTTGGTAGTTCTGTTGTGCATAGTAGATTGGGATTGGAGCTTGTGGAGATGGTGGGTAAATATTTGAGGTGGGGAATCGGTTGGAGTTTCCAATGGCAGAACCAGACCCAAAATACCTTTGCGGCCTTGGCCTCGGGCTAAAAGATACAGCAGACACGTCCTCTTTCTTTTTCCTAGCGAATCCTGTGGCCACGGATGGTGAGGATTTATTGGCGGCCTGCAAGGCAGTGAGACTTGTAACCTTTCCAGACTTGAGGCCATCTTCTATTGCTTCTCCCATTCTGATCAACTCCGAAAACTTTTGTCCCATCATAGGCAACATCCTTTCATAATACTCAGGCTCTTGAGCTCGAATAAAAGCAGACGTTATTTCATTTTCAGTCATCACAGGTTGTACCTTTGCAGCTTCTTTCCTCCAGCGGCACGCATATTCACGATAGTCCTCCGTGGACTTTTGCTTGATTTTTTCCAAATAATATCGGTCAGGGACAGCTTCGACATTAAATTGGAATCTCTCCAAGAAATCTTTGGCCAGAGCACCCCATGTAGACCACTGACGAAGTTCTTGAGATGTGAACCATTCTAATGCCTCCCCGCTGAGGCTTCGACTAAACAACCTCATAATCAATGCATCATTTTTCCCGATACCCACGAGTTTATCACAATAAGCTCGTAGGTGAGCCATAGGGTTCCCAATACCATTGAAGGTTTCAAATTTTGGAATTTTGTAACCTTCGGGTATTTCCAAGTCAGGGTGCATGCAAAGGTCCTCATACTCAAGTCCTGTTATCTTCCTCGAAGATTGGACACTTTTTACTGCCTCGGAGATGGCATCCTTCATGATATTCATTTCTTGTTCACGTTTTTCTTCTCTCAACCTCCACTCCTTCTCCATTTCTTCATAGTGATCCAGCTCCGGCTGAACGGGAAAGCTAGGACATGGTTCAGGGATTGTATAGGCTGGTGGAGTTTGGAATGTTACGGAAGGGTATGCAGGCTGGCTAGGCAAAACACATGGATTATCAGTAGCTGGGGGTGGGATTTGGTAGGTTGGTGTGAAGTTTTGGGAGTGATTAGTGTTAAGTGCTTGGTTCTGATTTGGTAATGGTGGTGGTGTTTGGTAGGAAGTGCTGGCGTAAGGAGCATTGGATACAGTTAAATCAATGGTATGAGGATTAGGGGTGGAAGTGATTGGTCTTGTGGTATGGGTAGGGAAATGATTGGGTAATGGGGAACTTAGTGATGGAAAAGGAGGAGGCGGTCTTCTAGTTTCAAGGGGGGGTTCATTCGATGCAATGGCCAGTTTGGCCAGATCTTTGGTCTGTTGAAGCTCTTCCTGCATGTCTGCAATTCGTTGCATTAACTGAGAGATCAACTCACTCTGATCAGCGAGTTCAGCATTTCTGATAGTCACATCCACTATTCCTGTTTCTTCAGAAGTACCAGTCATTTTGCTCTTGCCTTTCTCCAGAGAATGATCAGGGAAGGATGGTATGATTGCTTTAGATCTTGTAAAGTAGGGATGGTCAGCCAGTTTGATTTCAACACAGATCAGTTTTTATCTGTAGAGAAGAACAACTCAAAAGACATATGTGTTAGTTTTTGTTTTTAATGAGATATGCAAATAAGATGACATAATAATAACCACATAAGTGTCATTTTGCTTCAAGCAGATTAATCCACGAAAATATTTTGGGTGAACGGGAGGACTCAAATGGAAAGAAATTTTTCTTGTAATTGAATTGGAAAGGTCGACTTGCATAGAATCTTGCTATTTTCTCCCACTCATATTCTTTTGTAGGTGAAAGTCTTCAGAATCATTCACTAATAAGGGAGAATAAAAATCAAAAAGATAAGGACCGAGCCTTAAGTAGGCTGCCTACGTATCCACCAAGGAAATCAGGCCCAACGTAGTTCGAATTACATAAGATAATCTAAATGTACCCTTCCCAAAATTGATAGAGAGACTAGGCTCGAAAAGAGCTTCCTACGTACCCCCTATGGGATCAAGTCTCGCGTAGTTCTTGATTACAATAAAAATTTAAAAACAACATGACAAACATAAGAAAAGTGTTACATAAACCTAAATCTAACCAAAGGCTTCTCTCCTTCTTCTTCAACTGTAGGGTGACGATCTGGTGCTCTCGTCATCTGAACCTACTTTTGTTTTACCCTTTTCCCTCATGGAGGGAGCATTCCCAAAATTTAGTTCCTTAATGTCCCGTTCAATTTCAGGGATCCTTGCAGACGCTTTAGTGATATTAATTATCTCTTGATCAATTTTTGCAATCTTTCGTTTCACCGAGGTTGTTTCCATGTCAACCTCAATAATTCTCTCTCGTAGCATCCATTCAGTTTGGTCCAGTATTGCAAGTCTCCTTTTGGCTACAGCTATCCTCTCTCTAGTCTCGACAAATTTTCTGAACATTGACTCTTCAGTTTCTTCATCACTAACCAAAGCAACGGGTGGGATTGGTGCGTTGACACTTTTTCCAGACATTCTAGCAAGTCGACCTTCCTGTGATGGACGAATAAAACTGAGGAGATTTTTAGAGGAGATGGTTTATATATTTCTGGGAAACTTGGGCAACACTTCAGAAGTAATTTGGACGGACTTTGTTGTTGTGAATTTAATATATGCTTAGAGTGCTCTAAGAAACAAAAGTGGATTAATTCTGCTTTAGACAAAGTGACACATCACAACACAAAACAATCATAAGCAACACATAAACAGTTTATATCGCGCCCTAAACTTGTGACCTTTTTACGCCAAAGGTAGGCCTATCGAATTGAAGGATGTATGACGTCATTTGAAACATTTCATTGCCCCAAAACCCAAATTTGTACAAGTTTTACGAATAAACTAAATGGGGATACATAATAGGGGAAATGGGATACAAAATATCAGTCCCGCGCAGGGGTACAATTCTAATCTATGCTTCCAAGGAAAGATCATATGTCCTTGATTTCTTGTTATCTTCGAATGTCCACACTCTTGGATGCTATGATAATTTGATCCTTCTTCGACTCGAACAAACGATTAAAACTCAACCCCAAGAGACAATGGTTTGCTAAATGGCGTATACATCCTTCAAATTCAAACACATAAGCATGATTGTCTTTTATTGACCAATGGGCCAAATAGACACAAGGTGGACTTCTAATGGGCCCAAACACGCCTTGGGTGTTGGGTCGACTTAGTTCAAATGCGCTAAATTTGGGATTTGGTTTGGCTCTACACTAGTCTTGACTAAGAGTGAGGTTTATTTGAAGCGGACTGGTGACCCAAGCGGACTACTTGGGCTGGGACAGTTAACGACCGTTGACTATCCAGTAGTCAACTACATTCGTCAGGGTGTCCCGAGAACAATTTGGTAAACAAACAACTGCGGCCTGCATAATCGTCCTTTAAGTGAAAAGAAAGAAAAAAAAAATGTCATTTGACGGAATAAATGATATGCATGCAATGACAGTTGATATCATAATTTAAGCAAATAAGGCACATTTGAGGTAAAACAATTCAACAAATATTAGCAAATAGTCAAAGAGAGTCAAGTCATTATGGTTAGAACCTAATTAAATCCCCAGCAGAGTCGCCATTTCTGTTATGTCGTAATTTTCCTAACTTCAGAAAAATCACTCTTTTGAAATGTTCCAAGTATAAAACGATTTGAGAAAAATACTTAGAAAAGAGTCGCCACTTAATTTTTTAAAGAAATTAAGAAAACTTATAATTTTCAAAGATTTAAACAGAAAAAAAATCATTTGAAAATATCAAAGAGGGTTCGGGGTTCAATTTACACTTCGAGAAGGGTTTAAGCATTCGAAGTGCCCGCTAACATGCGGTTGACCTGCGACTTGACTAATATATATTTTGACTATTTTTAGGAAAATAATGATTTAACATAAAAAATAATAACTTGCAATATTTGATTAACTTTGAGAAAATAATTAAATAAATGACACATTTTATTTGATTTTTTAGAGAAAAGGGCTCAAAATGGAACAATTGACTCGAAATACGAGTGATTAGATTATTAATAAAAACTAGACTAATTAGAATTTATTTAATTCATTTTGAAATAACAATTTAAACCAATTTAATAAGTTAAAGCATGAACATCATTTTAAATTAATTGACTAACCCTTTTTTGAGAAAATGACTAAGTAATGTTTTATATGTATATATTTTTTATTAATTGGAAAAGTTTTGACTAACATTTAAAAGCTTATTTAAGAAAAATATTTTAACTAAAAATAATAATTTTAAAATGAGTATAATATGAATAAGTGAAGAGGCGTTAAAACATATATCTTAAGAATAAAAGGTTCCACTTAATTAGAAAGTATAATTTGATCAACATATTTGAATAATAAAGTAAGATAAATATTAAGAGTTAACCAACACAAAGAAAATAACTTGTCTTTTGGGGAATCTAATTAAGTTAATTAAAAATTATAAAGATATAGTTAAACAACAAACAATAAATAATCACAATTAAATAATTAAAGAGTAAGGCGGAAATGAATTTGGGCCTCCTTTTGGGCCAATTTCGCTGGAATTTTGGCCTTTAAACCAATCCCGTTTTTGTATATATCTGATGTATATCAGTGTATATCGGATGTATACAACCCATTTTTTCACTTTCCGAGACCTGTACGTCAACTCCAAAGACTTGTTCTTCGATTTTTCAAGGTTGGCTGACTTGACATAAGAATTTTGGACCTTATGGCCCTATCATCGAATGACAAGGAGAAGAGATAGAGTCCGTGAGGACTCGGGTCGGGTTTTCACATGCATAAACAAATGAAAAGGAACAGCATGTTACATATGATAGTTAGGTTAAACCATCAATAACATCAACTTTAGCAAGAACACAATTAATACATAACTTACCTATTTCTAAGAGCATCAAAATAAACTATTCAAACCCATATATGACAATTTGAAACTAAACCAATACAATTACTCTAACTAAACTCAACTGTATATTAACAAACAAATGATCCCACAACAAATTTTCTAATGAGCACTTTTCAGTTCTTCATTCATAATCCACAAAGGGAAAAAAAAAACGAGACTAGTGACCTCAACTTAACAGAGGAAACAAGCGTACATCAAATGGTCATATTTAAACAATATTAAAATGCATAAGTAGGAACTATATTAAACTAATCACTTATGACCCTTTTGTTATGAAAAAGCATGGTTTAACACCTTAAGTCAACTACTAAAGGGGCTGGACAGGAAGGTTAAAAGGAAGAAACAATTATGCCTCAAAGCACCAGCTAGTATCGAAGAACAAAAGATGGGAATACATAACGACTGACTTACGAGATACAAGAAAAGATATACTAAGAATGCATCGCTAACTTAAGCCAAAACGAAATGGTACTCACGTGATGTTATAACAAATCAAGGTTGTGAAGAAAGTACATTATCATTTACCAGATGAACAACTCCAACATTGAATAAAATTTCAAAATTTTTGATTAATGAATAACACCAAAACAGATCAAACCACACTCAGAAAGCAAAGGAACAATCAGATTCTCGGCCACATTTTCGAAAGCGAAACATTTTTTATATGAAAAGCAAGATACATAATTAGGAATAGATTAACTACGAGCGAATGATCCGAGTTAAAATAAGACTAAGGTGAATTGTAAACATGATATCACGAGTTGAAGACGCAAAACTGACATGAACAGTATTCGAGTTAAACAAGAACATAGATTAATACTACGGGATTAGACTAGCGATGGTAGTAATCTATAACGATGAATCAGACAACAGAGAAAAAAAAATAAAATTCGGCTAAACGATGAAAAGACAGAACTATATAGCTTAATGCATTCGAAGTCGAAACTAAATGAACCGCAAAAGAACTTCACTGATATTTACTTCATGCTCACAGTCCCAACAACTCACAGGAGAAAACGAAACTGAAAGCAAAAGACTAAAACAGAGAAATCAACTAATTCTAATAATTGGACTCCACTAGATATTGAACACATAACACACACTACATAGAAAACATAATGCAAGAAAGGGCGAGATTACCTCAATTGGAGCAGCGAACCGGGACAGCGAACTAGACCATGAAGCTTTTACACCACTGTGACCTTAACTCGAGCAAGAAGAAAATTGATACAAAAATAGCTCTCAATTTTTCGTCCTCTTGATAAAAATAAACATATATATTTTATTTTATTTTAGAATGTAAAATCTTCCCCCATCACAGTGGAAGGATAGGGGTATATATAGGGGAGATTCGAATTGAGAAAGGTGGGAAAACAAGTGGAAAGGAAGAATTTGAATTCGAAATTCAAGTTCTCTTTTCGAAGCAACAGTGGAAGGAATGGGAAATCCCTGAAAATGGGGAAAAGGGAACATGAGGGGTTATGGGTTCGCAGAGTAGTTGGGATTTTCGCTGGATTTCTGGGTTTGCGTCTGGAAGAAGAAGAAGACGCGTACTGGGTCGGGTCGGGGTACTGTTTCCGCGTGAAAAGGAAGAAGAACGAAGAGTACAGGGGTTGGGGTATCGTATGTACGTATTGCTACTGTATTGTATTGGAGGGTTTTGGATTAAAATTAGTGGGCTGGTTTCTTTTGTAAGGGATTTGAAAATGGGCTGCAGGAGTTGGAAATTGAAGAAGTGGTATTGGGCCGGTTGAAGGGTAATGGAAAAAGGCCCAAATTTGATTTCTTAAAGGTTTTAAAGGAGGTAAAATAAAAATGACTAAAATCATAAAAAAGAAATATAGCCAAATTGATTTTAATTTGCAAAAGGCTAAAAGCTAAATAAGACGAATTAATATAATTAATTAACGAGTTTCTTAATCTTAACAAAAAAAATAAAATAATTAATTAGATTATAAACTAATTAATTTAATTACAAAACTAATTAATTTAATTACAAAACTAATTAACTCGAAATTATAACTATAACTTAAATTAAATTAAACTAATAAAATATTTAACTCAAAATTGTAAAATTTTTTTTGATGATTTTCAAATATTTATAAAATAACATGATTGTAGAAATAGACATATTCAATATTTAAAATGATTACAAAAAGACAAAATTACTTTTTAAAAATAACTTGCAAGTATTTTGAATTTCATAAAATTCATTAATTCAAAATTACAACCATCACTAATAAATATTAAAATATAAAATCTTTTTGAGATTCATAAAATTCATTAATTCAAAATTACAACCATCACTAATAAATATTAGACTATAAAATCTTTTTGAGATTCATAAAATTCATTAATTCAAAATTACAACCATCACTAATAAATATTAGACTATAAAATCTTTTTGAGATTCATAAAATTCATTAATTCAAAATTACAACCATCACTAATAAATATTAGAATATAAAATATTTTTGAGATGATTTTTAAATATTCATAAAATACATTAATCATATACACAATTATATAAAACATATATATTATTTAAAAATTACAAGAGTGACAAAACTATTTAAAATAATTTGTAAACTATATATTATTTTTTTAAGTTTTTATAAAACTAATTATTTTAAATCGTTTGAAATTGAAGAAGCTCGATAATTAATTTATATTGTGGAGGGTCAAAATTGGCTGTCAACAATTATATTAAAGACTAGTACACTACAATTTATTTTCAATTTTTTTTAATTGAATTAAAGTTAGATGAAACAGTTACTTAAGTGGAGAACAAATAATTTTATAATAATTTATTATGCGATTTTATAAATTTTTCTTTATTTGGTAAGATTGAATAAACAATTGGGGCTATTTTAATAGTTTTACAACTTATGAGATTCTTATGTTTATGAGAAAATATATAATACAGAAATTCCATATCACATATCCAAACAAATCTTCAATTTCATCTCATAATTCCATATTATGATATCCTATCATGATACTATATCACATGGTTAAACGGGCCCTAAGAGTGTTAAGTTATTTTGTAAAATGAGCTTTAATTTGTGAAGCAGAGTCCGTGCTTCCACATATAAATGTTGATTTGGTATATTAATTTTAAAAGTGTTTGGATGATCATTTTGTAAGTTAGAATGTTCAACTGATACATTAGAAGTGAGTTAAAACTTAAAAGTTAGAATGTCCAATGGATATATTTAAAGTGTTCAAATATACATACTCGAAGTTAAAGTGTTTATTTGTCAGGTAATTACCAAATTTGAGTATCTATATTATGCCCAAAAAAAAAAAAATTATTACCGTTTTATTGGGTTATCGATTTTACCCAATAGTAAAAATCGGAACCAAACCAATAACCGAATAACCTTTTTTTATAAACCCATTAAAAATTCAATAACCCAATAACGATAATAGAGGGGTGTGCATTGGTCGGTTCAGTTCGATTTATCAGTTTTCGATTTTAAGTATGCTAACCTAATAACAAACCAATAAGATATTTTTTATTGATTTTTGGTTGATCAGTTTTTGGTCGTATCGGTTCGAATTTCGATTTATCCAATAAGAAAATGTAACGTAAAATATTATATGACTTCTCACTAGGGGTGTGCACTATTTGGATTAAACCAAAAACCAAACCAAATCAAACTGAATTCTAATTTGGATTGGATTTTTGGTTTGGATTTATAATTTACTTTGTTTGGTTTTTTGGTTTGGTTTCGGATTTAGAAAAATGAAAATCGAAAAACCGAAAAAACCGAATTATATATATATGTTTAGAATTAAGTTGGAGTTTACCACTTTTGTCCCTTTTTAGTTTATTTTTTAATGTTTGGACATCTATAATTGATATACTTTTAAGTATTGTGTTTTACGTTTTACGTTTTACTTGTGATTTATATTAAAAAGTATAGTTAAGAAATTCAATATATATATATATATATTAAATTGCAAATATAACTTTGTTATGTTTCTAATTATTGACATAACCGATTAACCAAATCGAAAAATTCAAACCAAAAAGAGAAAAACCAAACCAAACCAAATTTATTTTGGTTCGGATTGGATTACACTTCTTCAAAACCAAAAACCAAAAAATCCAAACCGAATGCACACCCCTACTTCTCACTTCTCTAAAAGCTTTGATATAGTAAAACGAGAAAGATAATGAGAAATTGCATCAATAAGAGAAAATATAGTACGAAAGCTATAATTACATGTTACCGTCAAAACATAGTATGAAATTTCTGATGTTAATCAAATTACGGACCTTTACAAACTTGCAAATGCTACAACCTACAATTACAAACTAAAACTAAAATTAAATAGTCTAACAAGACTAAAACTAAAATCAAATAGCTACAATTGCGAACCCTTACTTAGTCTTTAGGTTTTGAGTAAACAATAAAGACTAGTAAAACGGCCTAGTGTGAAGTCGGTAGAGTACTAATAATTTGATATAGTTATATTGTCTAGTTATATATTAAATTATTACTAATATTTAATATTTAGGAAGGGTAAAATAGTAAATTATTACCATCTTATTGGATTATCAGCTTACCCAATAGTAAAAACCGAAATCAAATCAATAACCCAATAACTTTTTTTATAAACCCATTAAAAACCCAATACCCAATAATTATAACCCAATAATATTTTTTCTGTTCAATTTATTGATCGATTCGGTTTTTGACACCCCTGCAATCTAACATTTGAAATTATTAAAAGCCACGCGTGAAGGAAAGCTCATTGATTGCTGTAGAGTGCTAAAATCTCTTTTTTCCACTTAGCTTTTTGAATGCAGAGATTTTTTTTATTATTTTTTTTTTATCCTGTCATTATCACTGTCATTATCATTTTGCCTAATTTTTTAATTTTAAAAAATGAATTTTAGGTTTATCTCCATCCAATTATTTATATAAAGAGACTAAAAAATACAAGTTCACTCGATGTGGGTTATTTGACATCTCAACTGCAAATAGATAAGATGGACCTAACATGAGTGAATTGCGAAATTACGATGATATTATATCATGTTAAAAACAAATTATAAATTTAACTTAACATTAAAAAAAATAAAAAAATAGCTCAAGAGACTATTGAATCTATATCCATTCGATGCGGGATATTTGACACTTTCAAAATCTACTTATTCTAGTAAGTAATTTTTTCATTAGAAATGTTTTTAAAACGAGTACTTTATGAGAGAAATCATTTGTGTTTGACTATTAATTTGGAAAATACATAACAATATTACAGCAGTGTTTGGCCTATGTTTCACGAGTATTTTTGAAAAAAATATGTTATAATACAAAAAAACATTTAATTTTTTCCTTAAAAAATGGTCACCCTCAACTCAATTAGTCAAATTTATTATTGGTAGGTAAGTATCTAAATTCTACTAATAATATAAAAACTCCATCTACACTGAATTGGAGCAGCACTCATTTTAGCCTGCAACAATATTTGTCCAGCTCTAAAGGATGAACATCACTTGTAAGTAATGTATATTTTATTTTATTTTATTTTTGTTTCAATTATTTTTCTTATCCATATAAATTTTAAGAATATGGTTTATTAGGACCTTCATTTTTCTCCTCATAATGGAAAAAAGAAGAAGAAAAGAATTGATCTTTTCATTGTTATGGCTTTCATAATAGTCTTTTTTTCTTTAAATAGAGTGTGCTATGTGTACTTGAAGTTCTATCATTTGGTTCGCAGAGTAAATTATCTCGAGATTATAATCTTTAGAGATGTGATATTCAGGATTATGTTTATATTGACATAAATTTATATTGTCAATCAAACAGTATAAATTTTATATCTACCTTAATCTTGGGATATCCACCTTATGCGGTGTACCAAATGACACCTTAATGTATAAAAGGGAAACTCAATGCACGAAGAATCTCGTGTTCATGTAGGGTCATGGAAAGGGCGAAAGCAATATATATTGTGTAGAAATCAGACAAGGAATGAACTCAATTTGTTGAGTTTTCCTTTTTCTAGATTATTGGTAGGGGCGAAGCTAGAGTTTTAATTACACATTCCGTTGAATAAGTAGCTTTAGTCAAAATTCTGTATTCCTGTTGAGAAATTCACTTAATATGTATAAATAAGTTATCCAGACCAGTAAGTTGTCTTTTCTAGAGACCGGAGCCCTTAAACTCAAAATTCTGAATCCGCCTCTGATTGTTCGTTATGAAAGCTGAGGACTTTATTGATTCATTTTACAGCTCTGTTGATGTCAAAGTGGCCTTGCTTTAGATTTCTGTTTCTGTTGGCATTGTTGTTGGTGATATCTGGAACAAGTACGAGTTTATCCTATGATAGACGCGAGGTGATAAAGGCAAATCGTGGTGTCGTTGCCACTGATGATGGACGATGCTCGAGGATTGGAAGAGATGTTCTGAGAGAAGGAGGCCACGCTGTGGATGCAGCAGTTGCTGCAGCATTTTGCTTGGGAGTTGTTAGTCCGGCGTCTAGTGGCATTGGTGGAGGTGCATTCATGCTAATAAGATCAGCAGATGGAAAAGCACAAGCCTTTGATATGAGAGAAAATGCTCCTAAGAAAGCCTTTAAGGTATTTGATTCTCTTGCAATTTTTCGATTGTTCAATTAAGCAAGCCTATACATTCATGATATTCGAGACATTTTCACCAGAAACTAATGGCTTCTCGTTTCGTTTTTAAACCTTTGGATGATATCGAATAGGAATGAACACAATCGTGTTAGTATAAGTTTCATACTTCAACTATCTCTGTAGGACTAGGAAAATCCATGTTTTAGTCCTCACCTAAACATATTACACGTATAAGCTACCTATACAGAGTCGCGTAAACACATGGAACACATATTTAAAGAACATTTGGTGGAAAATAGCATTTGTAATCTTCCATAGATGAATTTAGGAGAGAAAATGGGAATGTATCAGTATCAAAATTGAGGATGTTTAAACTAGAGCTCAGATTACGTTTCTATTTAGTCGCGCAGGTTATAGTACTAGTTATCGATATTGCTTCAAGTTCTTATAATTTTGAATAAATATATGCACTTAAGAATCCTGGTAGAATTCTTACAAGTCATGTCCATATCTTTCTTGTCCAGAATATGTATGCACAAAATGGTGCTCTAAAATCTAGCGGAGTTCTTTCAATAGCAGTTCCAGGAGAAATTGCTGGCCTTTACAACGCGTGGAAACAATATGGAAAGCTTCCATGGAGAAGGCTTGTGAGGCCAGCTGCACATTTAGCTCATAGCGGGTTCAAGATTTCTCCGTATCTTCACATGCAAATGCTCAGAAGTGAATCAGATATAATGGCTGATAAGGGACTTCATGACTTGTTCACTTCAAATGGCAGCCTTTTGCGGATAGGAGATATATGTTATAACAAACAGCTAGGGAAAACACTAAGAGCACTTTCCGCGTTTGGAATAAGACCATTTTACAATGGATCGATTGGGGTCAAATTGATCAAGGATATAAGAAAATCCGGAGGCATATTAACAATGGAAGACTTGCAGCAGTATCAAGTTCGTATAAGAGAACCTATCGTTGCAGACGTGATGGGATTTCAGATAATTGGTATGCCACCTCCTTCATCAGGAGGCGCTGCAATGGTGCTAGTAAGTATATAATTAAGTAAATAAAAGTATGCTCTCGGACTTTTTCCTTTAGTCATTACTATGTCTACCTCTTATGGAGAAATGGCTTATACTTGTTGTCCTTAGATACTGAACATTCTTGCACAATATGGATTTCCAATGGAAGGTCCGAGCTCCCTTTTGATTCATCGACAAATTGAAGCCTTGAAACATGCATTTGCAGTGAGGATGAACCTCGGTGATCCAGATTTTGTTAACGTTAAAAATGTCGTAACTGATATGCTGTCAACAGAATTTGCAAAACAGTTGAAGAAGACCATATATGACAACATGACTTTCAGTCCCAATCACTATGGTGGCAAGTAAGCAACTTCAACTAGTTCCTTTCGTTTAACCTATTTCGAGCACTCTAATTAGTCATCGTGATTTGTATGTCACTTAAATCATTGTTCAAATGTAACAACTTTGACAATAGGTGGAATCAGATTAATGATCATGGTACCAGCCACATGTCCATTGTGGACAGTGAACGAAATGCTGTATCGATGACTAGCACTGTAAATGCTTACTTCGGTGCTAAGTATCTCTCACCGAGTACTGGGATAGTTCTTAACAATGAAATGGATGACTTCTCCATTCCTGCTAAACGTTCCGAGAATGTTCCACCACCAGCACCTGCAAATTTTATCCATCCAGGCAAAAGGCCATTGTCATCAATGACACCTACTGTTGTTCTCAAGGTAAGATTTACAATTTTTCCAAGTGTAATGAGCATGGCATAATGGAAGAGGGGACTTAACAAAATGATACTACATTCAGTCCATATTATGCGTCTTTCGATGAATTTAACAGATTCCTAGAAGAACATAAGTCTTTGGACTCGTAACGGATCTTGAAGTACTATTTCTACATCTCCCTGACCAAATCCGCCTACACCAAAGGCCTCTGCCCTTCCATCCCTGGGATAGGTACAGAGGAGGGCAGAGCTTTTTTTTTTTTTTTTTTTTATATCGTTAAAGAGTTGAATATGGTTTTTTCGTATTGCCAAAGATTTGAAGAACGAAAATAGATGGCAAGTGCCTGATCGAAACAAAATGGGGTTCAACATCTGTTGTATATACATAAAAATAATTTTAACCATGTATAGTGTAATTTTTCGACAAAGAGAGTTTGTATGAACCCTCTTGGCCCTACTTGGGTCCGCCCCAGACGACTAATATTTAGGAACCGAGGTAGCATATTCTATGTTTTGAACCTTATTTGTGTTATAAACAGGGCGGACAACTGAGAGCTGTTGTTGGTGCAAGTGGAGGAGGAATGATCATTGCTGGTACAACTGAGGTTTTTCTGAATCACTTTGCAAAGGGAATGGATCCCTTCTCTTCTGTAATGGCTCCAAGATATTACCATCAGGTACTTACACAACTGACGTTTTTCCGAATCATTTGGTTACATATCGTTCCATAATGTATCATATTGCATTGTATTGTTTTGAGACATACAATGTTCGGATAGATTGTTTTAGTTTCTCTTCATTTGTAATGCCACTAATTAGAAATCCAAAGAATAAGCTAATTACAGTATTACAAAGGGTACGAGGTAAAGTTATTATAAAAATAGGAAGGATAAAAAATGAAATGGGATTCTTAAACAATAAGGGCAAGATGAGGGGGGAAAGTTAATGACGCGATCACATCAAAGTTATAGAAAAATGTCTTTTTTTTACTGTAAAATAACACCGAAATTGATTATACTATATAACTCAAGACTTTAAGTAACAGTCAAAACAAACATTTTATTCAAAGTAACGACGATACAATACAATAGGTAACAAGTAACAACCACATCCAAACAAACCCCTAAAAGCCAATTGTCATTATCTTTAGATATCAAAATTGTGTGCTAAATGGCACATAAGGCAAGAGAAACTACATAGTTCAATCTTTATTTCTTTACATAAAATGGAGAATCTTATGTATTTTAAATGTAGTACAACAATAACATACTCAGTATAATTCCATAAGTGGGGTTCAAAGAGGTTGGAGTGTACGTAGACCTTACCAACTACCTACAATGTAGTGCTCGTGATTGCAAGAACATTATTACTCTTCTTTTTCTTCCAATCTTCTGATTTTCAAGCTTATTAAGCCTTCATGTTATTGTACTTTGCAGTTGATTCCGAATGTGTTACAATACGAGAACTGGACAGTCGTGACAGGTGATCACGTAGAGGCTCCAGCGAAAATAAGGGCTGCCCTTCAAAAGAAGGGACATGTCCTACAAAGTATTGCTGGAGGGACAATCTGTCAATTTGTTGTTCAAGAATTCAAGTCATCCAAGTTAGGGGAGCTTGTAGCTGTAAGTGATCCGAGGAAGGGCGGATTTCCTGCTGGATTTTAGACGTTGAACTCAACGTCTAACAAGAAGTCGTTTGAAATCCATGTATGATCATTGATCAGTATCATCTGGTTAAGTGTGATTTCCATTTTATTGAATGTTTGGAGCTCTCATTAAAACATATACAACTAGAGCTACCATCTGTGTAACTAGGTAGACACAAGGGCGGAGCTACAATTGACGAAGGGTGGTTAGTTGAACACCATCCTTACGTCAAAATGTTAAAGAAAAAACACTTAATAATATATATATGATTGAGCTCATTTTCCTATAAATTGGATTGGTGGTGGTCCTGGCGGGGCTCGAACCCGCGACCTTCGGCTCATAAGACCAACGCTCTAACCAACTGAGCTACAGGACCATTATATTCTAATATGTATTATTTTTTCTTAATTATGTCACTTATTTTATTTTAATTCAAAATTTGGAGAAGATGATGATCATTTACGTGCATGAATTTTGGTGTCTTTTATAGACGGTAAGACGGATAATTCAATGTGCTCATCGGCGTTGGACCCTAAAAGAAGAATGAATTATGTTTAATAGCAATTGACGTTGAGGTAGATTCAATATTCATCAAAATGAAAAATAAATACTCATTATATTTGATATAATAGTTAAATTCAAAGTATTTGGGTATTTCCTGAACATGCAAAACAAAAGAATTTAGGTAAGTTTGTTATATAATATTTCTCTCATATCAATTAATTAAATTAATATAAATTTTGAATTGAAAGTTATAAAATTTTAGGTGATTTTTTTTTTTTTTTGAGATATAGCCCACACAGTTCTTGTCATCCTTATAATTTTTTTTCTTTTTTTTGAATAAACAAAAGAACAAAGTTTATATCTCAAAGAGTTTCACTTAATGACATTTTTTGGACCAACTATTCAAATTTTCAGTCCATTATTTTATACAATAAAATAGGAATTTATAAAGCTAGAAGCTTTTAAGCATGTCTTAAGTAGACTACTCAACAATCAATATCAAATTGAGAAAATGGTCAAAAAAACCTCGAATCTATAGCCGGATTTCCAACTACATACTCATACTTCACCGTGATCCTATTACCCCCTTAGACTATTTTAAAATGGAGTTATTTGCTTTCTATGTGCTGAGGTGGCAAATAATGTATAATTCACTCTCAAGTGTTTGTAAGTGTTTCTTTTTTTTCATTATTAATTTTCTACTTTTGATGTTTCCTTTTATTTTATTTTTTTACTTTTAACGTTCCTTTTCTTCTTTCTCTTTAACGAAGAAACACCAGCAACAACATGGGCTGCAGCGGCGGCACCTACGATCCACCATGTGAACTTCACTCATCCACCACCAAGTCTTCATCGGCCTTCCATCATTAAGCCCCCTCTTACCTTCAAATCACATACGTCTCACATTAGCTCAATTAAAAACTCATCAGAAATAATTATTGTTACTCCACTATGTGAGAACAAATCCATCAACCATAAATTTCATTGTGAACCACCACTTAAACCATCACTGCCACTTCCTTTGTAGCTTCAAGATTTTTAAAGTAGGAGATGCAGATTCAAGCATAAACACAAAATTTAAATAGTTAGGTATCACATCTACCTTTTTTTTTCTTCAGATCTAATAAAGCTTTGACAATCAAATCTACAATAAACATCGAATAGTACAATAATCTTACAAAATCTCCATTTTAAATATTTCTACCCAACTAAACTAAACTAACTGCATCTAAAAATTTAATTCCCAAAATTGACCGACTTTTTGGAGCATTGAATTGTTAATGATTTTGAGTGAAACTTCATCAATCTCGAGAGAAAAAGCAGGAAATGGTGTAGAAATGGAGATTATGAAGGGTAGTTAGGCGATTATTGAAAAAAATTGGGAATTTTCGAAGGTTGAATTGAGAGAAATTTAGATGAAAATTGATGAAAAATTTTGGTCGATGGAAGAAAATCATAGCTACATTGAACGAGTTAGAGAAAAAAAATAAGCAACTATGATAGAGAAGACTCCGGCAGGTGGCTGATGCCATGTATGGAGATAAAGAAAACAAAATAATTGAATTTTTTATACATTGAAAAAATATATATTACTTAGCGGGCGCGTGTCCATACAAAATCTTACCAGCCCTTGACATATGAACAAGAAAAAATGTCCTCAACGGAATGGTACTTAAGTTCATACAGGTATTGCATGGCTATCGTCAGCTCGTGTCGTGAGATGTTTGGTCAAGTCCTAAATGAGCGAAATCCTCGTTTTGTGTTGCTGAGACATGTGCCTAAGGATAAAGTCTTTGCAACCGAAGTGAGCTGAGGAGCCGAGTGATGTGCCAGAGCTACTAATTGAGTGTCAGCACCTAGTGTGTTGTCAGTAAGAAGGTAGCCGGTGCCTTTCGAAGCACTTTCTATTTCTAGTTAGCGTGTTTTTTATTGCAACTAGCGCGCTTGACGAATCTTGTATGTGTTCCTAAGAAAATGAATTTCTCCATTTTTTTGAGGTCTCAAAAGGGCGTGAAAACGCATAAGCACTCTTGAGTCGTTCAAAGCGAAAGAAGTTCCAATCACATACAGCTTCTAAAAGAAGAGAAAAGAGAAGAGAGGCAAGGGCGGCAAGACCAGAGAAGGAGCTAAGACCGCTTAGGCCTTTTACTAATGCCCCACACTAAAAGAGAGAATACGCTTAGCGAAAAGAATGTTTTTTGATACATCTAGGACATGTTTGAACCAATGGATTATAACCAAGGAAGATTAATTGATTGTTTGCTTTGCAGGATTCTCAATTTTTTACTCAACATATTTTACTCAACAAGCTATTATGGCTAGTCATTTCTCTTTTTGGTGCTCTTATTATTAGTATCACGCAAGTGATGATTGAAAAAGCCAAAACAACTATCGTTAAGATAATTAATATTAATCCAAACTGGTTCATTTAATTTTTTTTAAAGATTTCATGCGCAAATTCATCGTCAAATTTAAACTGTTTAACTCTCGAAAAATAAAAAATTTCACATAAATTGAGACAAAGGGAGTACATATTAATAAAAACATATAAAAATATTATTGCAAACTTTATTAATGAATATTAATAACTTTTTTTTATAGAAGAAACACATATCACATTAAACTATACTTATATATATTATATGTTAAACAAATATGTATATATTTAATATAAGAATAAATATACACAAAATCATTATTTCAACTCGATAATTGATAAAAGTAAATGCAATAATAAAATATAAAAATAATATTTTTTGTAAAATATGAATATCAAAAAACGATTAATACATGAAATATATATATATATATATATATATATATATATATATATTGATATTTTATACAAAAAATTGATTGAAAATATAATTATTTAATCAAATAGCAACTTGAATGGACTATAGATCAGTCAAAATTGAGTGTCAATAATTTTTCGATAATCCTCCACCGCCCAATATATAGATGCGATATAAAGCTTGATTAATCCATTGATTGAAGCAAATGCATCTGATTTGCTTGAACAAAATACAGTGCATATGTCTTTTTTTTTTTTTGAATTGCTTCCATTTTTGCTTTATATGTCGTTTTATGGTTAGTACCACATAAGTGGTTATTGAAATAGTCAAAGCAACCACCATTAAGATGATTAATTAACATTAATTCAAATTTAGCGGTATTGTAAAATTGATTTAGTAAAACATTTTCTACATTGGCTGATGCATACTGTATACACCTGATACATATTGCATATACAAATGTATAATTTAATTTTCAGATGTAGTATGCATCAGACAAAGAAGAAAATGGTCTACTAAGCCATTTTCATAAGACCATTCATTTTAGATTAATGTTAATCATCTCAATAATGGTTTTTTGGTTATTTCAAAAATCACTTATGTTAGACTAGCCATAAGAGTTGCAAAAAGAGAAATGTATATATGTGAAACAACTCAACAAGAAAAGAAAAGTATGAACAAAAGTTGCATTTGTTCAAGCAAATTCCGATCTTAGAGTTTCTCTTGCTTCAATTAGTGGATTAATTAAGATCTATTGTCACACCCATAGCTTGAGCGGTGACCGATTACTGAAAAAAAGAAATTTAACTATTAGTTGTAGATTTTGTTTTAGTTTTCATACTAGAAAAACTAAATTATATCTCTTTATTCATTATTGAATTAATCACTTAATCTAGGTTGGAAAAGAATTTTGAATCTATAAAGATAATTTAATTTTAAAGATCTAACACCGGTCGACTCAACTTCTATTTAATCAAATATAATAATTAAAAAATTGAAAAGTTCTTTTCAAGCATAGATGTTTTAAGGAAATAAGGATGTTTGCAAAAGATAATTCATTCAAGTATTCAGGCATAATTTCATATTTCTTCCAATAAAAAAAAAAGATAAGGAAGAGAAAAGCATACGAACCTGCTATTAATTGATTCAATTCTTCAGAAATAACTAAGAGGATTCATGTTGAAAATGGGTTCCATTATCATATCGTCACCCTCTTCTTCATTTTTATGAGCTTTCTTATCTCGGCGCCGCTATTTGTTTAGTTGCGATAAAGTGAGAAGTAAAACATCATTATATATACTAGGAGTAAGAAAATAGGGTTTTTAAAAAAGTTATTATAAATTTATTTTTGGTCCAAATACTGTTACAAAACAAAAATTATAGTCCAAAAATTATTACAAACTTTGAATTTTTTGATCATTTGGTCCCAATTTGTACACTAATATCAAAATTCTTTTTTTTTTATATAACTATTTATCTGAATGATACAATTTGAAAGAAATAGAAAAAATAAGTTTTTTTTTTAATTATTTGAGTAAATATTATTATTTCGTTTAAAAGTTCATATATTTATGTTTGTATCAATTTGTTATTTCGAGTTTTGTCATATTTGTATAATTTCAGACTTTATATTATTCAATTATACAAAAAAAAAGCAAATTATATAAACGTACTCACAAATTATACAAACGAGATGCAATTTATACAAATTATTGTCCTCTTTCGCTCGCCTTTCTCCTCCCTCTCCCAATCTCACTGCCACTCTCTTTCTTATAACATACATGTAGTTATGAATTGTAATTAACAAACTATAACTATAAAGCGTAATTAACTAAGAGAATTCATGTTGAAAATGGTTCCATTATCATATCGGCACCCTCTTCTTCATTTTTATGAGCACCCTCTTCTTGGCGCCGCTATTTGTATAGTTGCGATAAAGTGAGAGGTAAAACATCATTATATATACTAGGAGTAAGAAAATAGGGTTTTTTAAGAAGTTATTATAAATTTATTTTTGGTCCAAATACTGTTACAAAACAAAAAATTTAGTCCAAAAGTTATTACAAACTTTGAAATTTTTTGATCATTTGGTCCCAATTTGTATACTAATATCAAAATTCTTTTTTTTTTATATATAACTATTTATCTGAATGATACAATTTGAAAGAAATAGAAAAAATAAGATTTTATTTATTTATTTGAGTAAATATTATTATTTCACAAGAATTTTATTTAAAATAAAATAAAAATTAAATTTGAGTAAATATTATTATTTCGTTTAAAGTTCATATATTTATGTTTGTATCAATTTGTTATTTCGAGTTTTTTCATATTTGTATAATTTCAGACTTTATATTATTCAATTATACAAAAAAAACGTGAATTATATAAACGTACCCGCAAATTATACAAACAAGATGCGATTTATACAAATTATTGTTCTCTCGCCTCTTTCTTTCCTCTCCCAATCTTTATAGTTATTATAATTAGCAAACTATAACTATAAAACATAATTAAGCTGAATATATGCGAGAGTCCTCACCCTTCTTTATAAATAAGACTTTGTTCTAAAAAAATTTCGAGACAACACGAGCCAATTGACAAATGTTGAGTGTACTGAAGTTGCAGCCATCGTCGCCGTTGTTCGACAACAATTTCGATCAACTAACCGCCGGGAACTTGGTTTCCGGCCGGAGGTTTAGTATCCGATTGCGTCAACGTCAATTGGCATCTCTTTCGGTTCAATCGGAAACCGCTTCGTCGTCATCTGAGCCGTTGGTTACCTCTAATTTGAATTCCACAGTTGGATCTTCGTCGGCGCCTCAACTCTACCAGTGGACCCTCACTCATCGCCATATTCATATCCTCAATTTCATTGCTTGCGCGGTACATACTCTTTTTTTTTTTTTTTCACTCTCTTATATACAAACGCATTTTTGCTGATCTTATCATTTAGGAAGATTTCTGCTAATGTGAATTTGAGAGATTTGTTATACATAAATTGGAGCTTTTGCTAATCTATAGCCAACTGCTTCATAAGCTACTAAGAGTTACATTTAGTTTGTACACGCATTTGCATATTTATCCCTGTGTGAGATAACTGTATGAGAGTTAATATTTCATGAATTGTTCATTGGCGAAGCTTTCAGTATATTCCATGGCAATTTATTTCACTGCTTATGGATAACTAGACTAGATAAGTTGCAGGGAAACGACTCAAGGATTTCATTGGTTTTGTACTTGACTTTTGTTTTCCTTTCGTGTTTATGATAAACTGAACTTTTGTGATTTTTGCATCCGTTGTAAGATTTATATTGTCGAATCGAGATTCACACTGTTGGCCCCTATTCTAAATAGGAGTAGGATTTCTATGGTTAGTATACTAGCCAAATTATGATGAAATCTAGTTTTAGAGAATTCACAGTTGCCTTTAAGAGAGAAATTTTCGAATGAAATAGGTCAAAAGAGTGTTGAATGGATAGGTCAAAAAATATTTTTTTTTTCTTTATCAAAAAAAATATATGCAATCCCAACTATTTTGGATTGAGGCATTGTTGATCCTTTTGTTTGCTGTAGAGATAGCTCGCTGGATAGTACTATTGCTTTCTCACCATTATTTTCTTCCGTTAGTTACGACTGATGCAATAAGAAAAGGAGTATGAGTTCTGAAACTGATTTATGTTACAATTCGTGTTCAACTAAGCAAATGCCTTAGTCAAGGTTTGAGAAATTTAATTTATGTAGTTCTTGTAGAGCGAAGGAAATGTGACGTGAAAGCACAATGAGATAAAAGTGGTGATCTGAAAAAACAGAGGATGAATCTTATTCTCATTACAATTTCAACTTATTAAATATGAAGGAGTGCTTATTTTGGGTAAGTAATCCTGAGCAAAAGGAAAGAAAAGAAGAGTAATTTGCTCCAAACATCCTCATAATATGGGTTATGGATATTTGTATATTTGAAAATTTGATTATCTTATAAAAGCAGTGTTTGATACGTTGACTTGTGGAAATTGTGATTTTGGAGATATGAAAAAGATGTAAATAAGCTGAACGCTGACTCGTGTGTGCACACTCATATTTATCGCTATATCTATGTGTATGTGTTGGGATCACTATATGAAAGTTAATATTTCATGAACTGTTCATTGGCAAAGCTTTCAGTATATTCCGTGGCAATCTAGTTCTCTATCACCTTATGGATAACTTGACTAGAACAAGTTGTTGGGAAACGACTCAAGGATTTCATAGGTTTTGTACTTGGTTTTTGTTTTCCTTCTGTGTTCATGATAAAATGCGCTTATATGAGTTTTGCATCTCATGTAAGATTTATATTTTGAAATTCATGCTGTCAGTCTATCCCATATAGGAGTAGGATTACTAAGATGGCTGGCTGGTGTAAACTAGTCAATTATGATGACATATAGTAATGGAGAATTCCTAATTTGCCTTTAATAGAAAAAATTCGGAATTTTGGGATGAAATAGGTCAAAATAGTGTAGAACGAATATGGAAGGTTCATATAGGCAATCCCAACTATTTTGGGATTGAGGCGTTATTGTCATTTTTGTTTGCTGTTAAGGTTGTTCGCTAGTGTTGTCTTCCCTTGCAAGGGTATGGGTTGTTAGCGTTTGGAGTAGACCTAGCCTTATGATGTTTACTGCGTTTCACGCATCGCATTACTTTCTTGTTGTTACTGTCTCATTTGTTGATTATACGCTATCGTTTGTATTGGCTGTTATGTTTTATATATATCTCTCCTGTCACTTAGATTTGTTGTTCTTGAGCTGAGGGTCTCCCGGAAACAGCCTCTCTACCTCCACGAGGTAGTGGCAAGGTCTGCGTACAATTTACCCTCCCCAGACCCCACCTAGTGGGATCTCACTGGGCATGTTGTTGTTGTTGTTGTTGTTTGTTGTTCGCTAGAAAGTACTATTGCTTTCGCATCTTCCTATCTTTCTTCCATTTGTGCAGGGGTGATGCAATAAGGAGTATGTAATTTGAAACTGATTTAAGTTACAATTTTAGTTCTACTAAACAAATGCATAGCTGGAGTTTTCAGAAATTTAATTTATGCTGTCCTTGCAGTAGCGATTGAAATGTGACTGGCTTGTCTGTGATGGTGTGATTATGCAGTTTGTACTTTGTTTTTTAAAGCTACTAACTGAGAAAGCTAGTTGGTGGCTTTATTATGAATGAGTAGCTTGGGGAGTTGATTCCTATTCTTTTGCATTATAAGTAATATGTTATGTAACATCTGTGTGATGTTAAATAAACATTTACAGTGTTTGAAATACATCATATGATCCTAAAATCGTTATCTACCTGTAATTTACATAATGATAGTTCATCACTAGTGCAATTTTTCTTCCTTCCATGGAAGCCTAATGAGATAAAAGGTGGCGTTCTGAAAAAAGAGAGGATGAATCTGATTCCTGTCACAATTTTAACTTTCTTAATTGAATGATACACACAGGAAGATTCAAGCAATTTACTTTTTACTTATTTTTGTTTTGTGATTAATTGGTCTATGATGGTCTTATATAAGTAGTGATGGTACATGTGTTGGATCTCTTGTAAGCCTTTAATTTGCAGATTTGGTTCCAAATGTTGCTATTGATGCCACTATTAATGCCTTTACTGTGAACATACCTAATGATGTGCATAGAAAGATATGATAGTCTTATTTTGTTGTACCTTACATGAACTAGTGAAATTTTCTAATATATTGACTGAGTTATTGTTAAATGCTTGGATGGGGGTGGGTTGCAGGTGTTGTGTTAAGGATGGGTTAGGTAGGCAGTTGCAAGGTTGGGGGGAGAGGTTGTATCATGTATGTACGGGATACAGCAGTGTTCAGTGAGGGGCTATCTGCTAATAGAGACATGAAAGGATTGGAGGTTTACTGTAGGAAGACTCTACAAAAGAGATCATCTGGCACTACCTGGGGCATTACTGGTCCTTGGAAACAAGTTTGGAGATGTAATACTCCAGCCAAGGTGAAGCACTTTCCGTGGTTGGTCTGTAGAAGAGCATGTTTAACTCAGGAGAAGCTGAAAAGGATGAGATTCCAGATTGTTTCTAGATGCTTTTTCTACAATGAAAAGAAGGAAACAAACAGCCATCTCTTTCTCCATTGCAGAGTTACTGTCCAAATATGGCACATGTTTCGCAGACTTATCGAAGGATCCTGGGTGATGCCTGAGCCTACTGCAGATCTTTTAAGTTATTGGATGAGGAGAGGGGAGAGTAGGTCCCAGAAAAAATGGAGTATAATCTCTTCCTGCATATGGTGGTCCATTTTGGACGGAAAGAAACAACAGATGTTTTGAGAATATTACTAACCCAATGCAGAAAGTTAAAAGGAAAGCATTAACACAATGTATTGTTGGTGTAAAGATGAGGGTATAGATGAAGTATAACAGTGAGTAGATATCCTAGGTTCTCTGTAATTAAGACTACCTGCCCTTGTAATTTTTGAAGGTTGCTAGCACACCCTTATTGCTGGAGAATACAACTTTACCTTGGGAAAAAAAAATGTATTGAAAGAGTATATAAATGAAAACAAATAAAGTGTTATTTTTACGTGTTTATGAAATAGAATTTGTATATAAAAACAAATGATTTAAATATGTAAAATGAGGACACTCTGAGACAGGATGTGCTCAAGTGTCTCTAAAATCTAAAGAAGCAATTGGTTCTATTGTTGATGAGATGAAACATATAAGGTATGAGTGTAATGATCAAGTTACTGTTAACTTAGAATCCCCACTTTTGATTGAACCAGATAGTTGTTTTACTATTGTTGAAAGCAAATGGTAAGAAATGATTCCCCGTCCCCATGCCTACTTTTGACTAAGAACAATAAAATTTTACTTAGATTTTCATTCACCATACTATGATCTGATATCTGAGGTTTGTATTCCTTGACAGGCTGCAATTTCTGCAACCTGGCTGTTTTTTTCTGCAATTCCAACTCTTCTGGTATGTGTCAATAAATTCTTCGTTCTCATAATATTTTGTCCAATACTTATTTCTGAGCTTGCATAGAAGTACATGCAGTAGAACTCTGGAAACAGATAAAGGTTGTTGTGAATTTCTTGCCTTTCTAGGACAAAGAAATGCTTACTCGACTCTGAAGCAGAAGAAAGTGTGATTTATTTGCAAAGAAACTTATTCCTATGTGGTGCATGTTTCTATATCTCAATAACTTAATGATCAATTTTGACTCTAGGCTTTTAGGCGAGCTGCAGAGTCACTAGAGAAGCTAATGGATGTTACTAGAGAGGAGCTTCCGGACACTATGGCTGCAGTTCGACTCTCTGGTATGGAGATCAGCAATCTAACTATGGAGCTCAGTGACATTGGGTTAGTACAAAACATATGAACTTATTCAGTTCTATGCCATCAATTTATGGAATTATTCTTGGACATGATGTTAATGTTGTAGTCGTGATCTTCCCAGCCAAGGATTAACACAAGGTGTTAGAAGCTCAACTCGAGCTGTCCGTTAGCAGAGGAAAGATTGCGACAGTTTTCAAGCACGCCTCAATCAGGTTACTCGACATTTACCTGTCATTGCTCATTTTTGATCATTGAAATGGTTCAAGTGATGAATTTGGCTTCATCTTTACTTCATTAGCAACCGTGCAGGGTCTACTAGTCCCAATGGAGACCAGGACAGCAGGACCAGCTTTAGCAAAAACGGCGAGGGACCTAAGGGAAGGGATAGTTAAAGGTCGTCAAGTTTTACAAATGCTTTTCACCCTCACCCGGTATTCCAGGACAGTCTTCAATATCTTCAAATCCAGGGAAAAGACATAGATCCAAGAAAATCAAATCTGCCTTAAGTTGCATAATTCCAAGTGCTAGGCTGTTACTATGTTCATATACATCAGACTTTTGCATGGATTTGGTAGTCTGATCCATAATGTAGTTCAGTTAGGTCATATGGAAATGAATAATTTTGACATTATTGTGCATGAACTTTGAAACTGTTTGAATAGTTTTTGATGACATCCATCTTATCTCAACACTAATGGTCCAAGGTTGTGTTTTTCTCTGTAATTTACGGACTAAGGAGCTCAAGGGAAAAAACTTATCCGCACTTGATGTTTATACCAATACAGTAAATATATGACATGAGTTCTTACATGCACTCTTATCACTTGAATCAATTCTAATCTCAAATTTATAATTTAACTATGAGAAATTAACTAGTTTGGTGCAAAAGTAGGTGAGTGTGTCCCTTTTGAAAAGAAACTATGTCAGGGTCTTAACACTGATTGAGTCTTTATAGTACTTTAGGATTATATTTCGTGTCGAGGATTTGTGCTTGTGCGTGAATATTGCAGACTAGGGGATATGGTGGTCGATAATCTTTTGTACTTGAGACTTAAATTGTGATTATTCGCTATTTGTATTAAAAATGAAGGAATACTATCTCATATAGAAGGTGTGATAAAATAATCTCATAAAATATCTTTACTTCTCTCATTTTACGTACCAAAGGACTCTAAATTCTCAACTTAAAATAGCTTTCAAGAAAAAATTCACATAATTGCAACTTCATAGTTGTATTAGTGAGTCAGATTAATATTTACATATTTATTCAGAGAAAAAGCAGCAAAAAAGAATTTGGAAAATTGAGAAAACAGAAAAAGAATGGATCCGATTATAGAATCGGGGGATTGAACCCGACGTGAATCGAACACGCAACCTTCTGATCTGGAGTCAGACGCGCTACCATTGCGCCACGGATCCTAGGATGTGATATTTATGAAATAAATTCAAGATATATAATATAAAAGTTTACTATTGATCTTTTGATAAATTTTCTTCCAAGAAAAATATTACACAAATTCAACTTCCCCTGATATAATAATATCTTAACATTCCAGTCGTATCCAAGGAATTAAAATTCTAATTTTCCCGACTCTCTATGACAACAATCTATAGAGTAACCTCACAAGCAGAATTTGGAGAAGTCAGAGGACGTAATGTAGATTTTACTTCTATCTTTATAGGAAAGAAAATTTGTAAGTCTAAAGGAATGTTATAGGAAAGAAATTGCAAGAAAAATATAATAATGAAATAGCAAGAAAATACAAAGATAATGAAGCAACAAATAAATATAATACCACATAGTACTACCAATGGTGAGTAGAGGAAATGAGGAGTTTAGACCCCTACTTCCCACATAAAGCGCAATAAACATTCGATTATCTACTAATTAACCTTCTACCCTAATTTTTGACCTTCATACATTTCTATCTAGGGTCATATCCTCAATAAACTGAAGTTCTGTCAAGTCCTATCTAATCACCTTTCTCAATTTTTTCCGACCTACATCTACCTCTCCTAACTCATGCTACAACTAAGCTATCATGCCTTCTAACTAGCCCGTGCGTCCTTGTGCATCCCCTTCGCATGTCCGAATCACCTTAGTCTCACGTTCCTTATTTTTTCGCTACGAATCATGCCAATTATACTTTTACCTTGCCCGAATAACTTCGTTTCTAATCATATCTCTCCTAATATTCCTACACATCTATTTGAGCATCTTCATCTATTATCGTCCTCCATCTTCTGAATATGGGTGTTCTTGACTAGCTACCACTCCACTCATACAAATATTGATCTAACCATATCACTATGTAGAACTTACATCAATTTTATGTATTTTGGTATTGAGTAGAGAATGTATATATAGTTCTTTACAATTTGAATAAATGATCAAGATGATTTCGAATATATTTTTTATGTGTACAAATAAATATCCCGTATCAAAAAGATTTCATATCAGCTTAAAAATAAATTTATAAAGAGTTACAAAATCAGTTGATTCGACTATCATCAAATGTCTCTTTTTTTTTATTAAAAAAAAATCTAAATAATTAAGTAGGTAATTATAGTATTGTTTAATTAGTTCCACAAATTCAGGTTCCGAAATCTATGGAACCAAATTCCAACCAAAGAAAATTAAACAAAATAATATCATTTCCAAATACACCTACACCAAGAAACCAAAATACAATTAATCAACTACCTACCCCCCTCTCCACCCCACCCCTCCAATCTCCATCTTCATTTGCATGCAAAATCAACATCCTTAATCTTTTTGTGTTTTCTTCCTCTTTTTTTGCGAGTAATTTTTTCCTCATCCATTGCTGGTTACCCTAAAAACGGATACTAGCAATGGATCAGGCAGAACCACCACCACCACCACAATCATCATCAACGCCAAGAACGAGCGTATCATCAACGTCTTCTTCCTCAATACCGGCTCCAACAACAACAACTCCGCCATTATCCCTTCTTGAACCGGTTAGCTCAACCAAGAAAAAAAACCGGACTAGGGTTTTTCGAGTTTTTCGTAACGTTTTTCGATCGTTCCCGATTATTACACCGGCATGCAGACTCCCTTCTCTACCCGGTGGTCGGTTACCGGATAGTAACAGCCGGATAATAGCCGGTTCAAGAATCACTGGAACGTTGTTCGGATATCGAAAAGGACGTGTTAGTCTTTCCATTCAAGAAAACCCTAGGAATCTTCCTACCGTTGTTGTTGAACTTGCTTTGCAAACAAATGTTTTGCAGAAGGAAATGAATCTAGGCATGGTAAGTTTTTTTTTTTTTCTTAAATATCATTTTTTCTGTTGAAACGGTTCGAAAAAAAAATATCGAAACATTTTTCATTTCAATGTATATATATGTTTTAGGGTAATTAAAGAGACGTTATATTGTTTTCCATTTATGTTTGGAAACATTTTCATATTCCTTAATATTTTAGCTTTAAATTTTGAAATAAAATTTATATATTTGAAAACCAGGCGTAAAGAGCAAAAGTATTGTTACTAAATTATAAAAGTATTTGTAAAAATCATAAGCGAAAAAAAATGTTTGACTTTTGAAAGAGTAATAGTATTAAATATTACATAAATTATGATATAAAGAAGTCTTATATATATTGACATACTATATATTGAATCTTTTAAGTCAAAGGTTAATTAGAAATAACCTCTTTACGCGGACACACATGCTCCTTAAACCCCACTTATGACACTACGTTTTTGTTATATGACTCAATTCGTGTGTTTACTTATTTATATATTTGACTTTAGTGAAAATTCTGATTCCTCATCGAGTCACGACTTCTATTATTGATTAGGTAAGGATTGCATTAGAATGTGAGAAAAGGGACAAAAAGGAGAAGATAAATCTTCTTGAAGAACCATTATGGACAATGTATTGTAATGGTAAAAAAAATGGTTATGGTGTTAAAAGAGAATCCACAGAAGAAGATCTTAATGTGATGGAGATTCTTAAACCGGTGTCGATGGGCGCCGGAGTTTTGCCCGGAAAATCTGACGTGGAAGGACCGGACGGTGAGATGACATACATGAGGGCACATTTTGAACGTGTGGTTAAATCAAAGGATGCTGAAACCCTATATATGTTAAGTCCAGATGCAAATGATGGACCTGAATTGAGTATTTTCTTTGTAAGAATATAATTAATCATAATTATACAATGATCTGTGGGTCTTTTTTATTGTTATTATTACTACTAATTAGTTGGATGGATCCCTCTAATATATTATTAGGGAGGGAAATTTAATTTAGAGTTTTAACTTATATATACATATTGTTATGTAATTTTTTTTTATACTCATTTGGGGCGGGGACGGGGCAAAGCAAAGCTATATGTTTACATATAATTTGGTAGATTGATCAGTATTTTTGGTTCAAATCCTCATTATATTTGTGTTAAGAAATGAACTTAATACGTATAAATATAATTTATACAGAACTTTCGTGATTAAAGTGCATTTTTTAGAATCTAGAATCTATAAAACTCAAATAGATGCTTTCAGCAGTTATCCGTTCTACACTTGGCTACCCATCATTACCGTGGGCACGATAACTGGTACACTAGAGGTGCATCCTTATGGATCCTCTTATACTAGGGAAAGATCCTCTCAATGATCTAACGCCCACACCGGATATTTTAGTTTCATCCTTACATATCATTAAGTTAATATCTACTAGTAAACCTCTTTAAAATGTCTCACTTCTAGTTTTTAATAATTTATGTCCCCTCTGTGTTTTAGGTTTTTGGTTATTAATTAATTACGAGGTAGGTCCTATTAGTTTAAACTGTTTGTCATCTTAAGCGGAAATTAAACTTTTACTAATAAAGTGAAAACTTTAGATACTACTAAGAGAAACGCTTAACTAAAAATATATACCCACACAAAAAATGTATGTATACATGCCATTACAAGTCTAGACTAGCCTAGAATATATACATATAGACTCCTGTTCAGTATTGCTTCTCGCTTAGAATCTCTTTCAGTTGAGTTGCACTAACAGACTTAGGTGAAGTACAGATAATGTAAGTGACTACATGCGAAAGCTTTCGCTTCTTCTTATCAATTACGATGGTCAATGAGATGAGTGGTCACCTTATAAAGTTTGGACAAGTCTCCTCCCTTTGAACTAGCTTTTTGGTTGTAAGTTAAGCTCAACTCCTAATTTTACATGGTATCATAGTAGAATCAATCTCACTCAATATTGAGCCCCTAAATTAAATTTTTGATCACACTCTAGATGTTCAACACTTTACGTAATAAGGGTGTTGACCAATGATTAAAAATTAAGTCTCACATCGATATAGTTAATGAGATATGTAATCTCTTTAATTTTTAAGATTCGAACAATCCTCCTTTTTAGCAAACACATCTGTCACCTGTCACCGCATTGTGGATATATGAATCATCGATGAAATTAGCATATAAGGAATTATTTCCGTGCAATAATGTAAAGGAATTATTTCCAATCGAAATCATCACACGTAAGATATGCAGTATTACAAACATGGATTGTGGTGCATTGGTGGGAGTGATTCACCCTTAATCAGAGGTCTCGAATTCAAGCCCTGGATATGGAGAAAATCCTATTGGAAGTGCCACCCCCGAATGGGCCCTGCAGTGTGCGATCCGAATTTAATCGGAGCTCTAACGTGGACTCCAGACACCGGGTGGAAAACAAAAAAAAAAAGATATGCAGTATTTATGTGGTCATAATTGTACAAAAAGAAAAGTTATGTGGTCCTAATTTTACCCAAATAAAGTTATGTGGTCCTAATTAATTGCTTCTTTTTTTGCATTATTACAAGTTTTCTGACTCAAAAGTAATTTTTTTACGAACTGTCAAAATCTTCTTTTATGTTATCATCTTATCTTGATAGAGAGTTAAAAAGGTGTATTTTTTCCGTATTAATTTATATGATATGATATAATTTGACATATAAATTTTAAAATTAAATTATTTCAAATGATAGAAATGTAACATTTTTATTGAGATGGATTAAAAAGAGAATTAAATATATCATATAAATTAAGACAAAGAGAATAATGTTTATAACGAAATAAAAAGAATAATCTTCATTTAGAGTTGAAGTTTTATGCTTGATTATATAAAAATATTTATATAATTAGGTCACAAATAAGATAATTACAAGTATTAATAACATTTTTGGTTTTCAAGTTAATTATTGGTAATTTTTTATCCTTTAGCCAATTTAGATCTATTGTTCCCTCAATGATCGTAGTATCTAAGTACTTTCTGACAAACTCTAATATAATTCGATTTATAAGGAACAAATTTTTTTAGAGCTTTAACCTCCATTTCTCGTACTCGTTGTTTCCTCTATTTGGCTCTTCCTCTAAAGGATTGTTGTATAACAAGTGCATAATATCCATTGGAATATCCATAAATTTTATCATCCACTTGATGAATTGATTTCAAGATATAATTTTTTTTTATTACAATGGGTTGTTCAAAAGTGTTCTCCCATTAAATATTTTACTTTTTCTAGATTGATATTCAGGTTCAAATATCCATGAATTTGATGTTTGTTTATTGACTTTGCACTTTACGGACAATTCAAATCAAAGCAATTGGATATTTAAATATTTTAGTTCTAAAAAAAATATTTTATACAATTTTTTTTTAAAAAAAATTGCATTAAAATTGTCTCATTTAAAACGTGGAAAGGATATTGTTTCCAACTCATAAAAGTTCTGAGAGGGTAAAGTAGAATATAGTCAATTTAATTATGATATACACATCGACTTTCCACATTGAAGTTGGACCCATGAAAAATGATATACAATTTCATTAGTAAAACAGATTTCCATGCGATGGGAACAAAAATCGAGAAAAAGGTCAAATATATTTGTAACTTTGTTATTTAGAATTGATATACTTTTTGTTATAAAAATGGAATATATACCTTTAGTGTCATACAAATAATTCACATATACCATTTTTCTCTAACGAAAGTGAAAAAATCAATTTTATCCTTCTCACATGTATTCTTTTGAGCTTCTTTGATTTTAATGCTAATTTGAATTTATTATTTTGATGGTCAAATTCATTTTTCATTAACTTTCTTGTAAAATTTATCATTTATGCCCAATTTTTTTTTTTAAGATATAAAAAATAAATTACAATATAGCCAGAAAAAATAGTTTAAATTTTTTGGTTATTTTTTTTTCTTTTTCCATTCATACTTTTTTATTATTTTATTTCTCATAAATTTACACTAAAGAATGTTGCGAGTTTGAGTTACCAATGGAGCTAAAAGGGTGGGACCTCCTGGAAGGGGTAACAAAAAACAATGAAAGAGAAAAATAAAATAAGAATAAGAGACTCAAATAATGATAATCAAATTAAAGAAGTAAAAAAAAGCATATGTGAAAGGATCATATATACCCAACATGAATTTATTTAAAATTAAAATTAAAATTAAAATTTAAAATTAATTTTTCACTTCGGACGTTAGATAAGAAGTTATATGTGAGCTATTTTTGTAACGGTACGGATATATGTGAATCATTTTTATAACGGTAAAGGTAGATGTGAACCACTTTTATAATGATGAGTATATCAAGTCTAAATGACAAAGTTGAAGAGTATATCAAATGATTTTTCCATAAAAATATGCATTCTAATTAATTAGAGGTTAAATATATTTAATCATATATCATAAGAATTAAAAACAATTTCCCAATAATGTAAAGACCAAAATTGTGCTTATGCCTGATTTAGTATTAATATGATTCAAATGATAACTAATTTACTCTCACAAGTTAAAATTCCGAAATAATATACATTAATTTTTACACAATTAATATATGTAACTTAAGTAATATGTCGTGTAAGTATAAGAAACTCTTCCAAATAGGATCTACGTGTAAATTCAGATTAGTCACATTTTAATGTGAATATATATTACACATTGGATGAAAAATCGAAAAACAAAAAGAATATCAACTTTTTAAAATTAAATTTGATATTTAGTTGAACTCGATTTTCGATGAACACCCCTAGTGATGAGTATATAAAGCTTAGCTCTGAAGAGTTGAAATAAACTAAGAAAACTATGGAGACTCCTTCATATGATATCAAAAACAAAGGTATCATTTCTTTATATGCCTAAGTATTTATTTATTTATTTTGTAACTGAATTTTTATATTAAAATCACCAAGTGAGAGTTTAACAAGAATCATCTTAAAGAAAAAAATATTATTTACTAATCATTGTATTATCCTCCAGGAGATGATATGCAAGAAGATCTAAAGGTGAAACTTCACCATGAGAAGGTAACTTTAATTTCTCCTATTTCTTTTTCAACTTTTTTATTTATTATTTTTGTAATTTTTTTTTTGATATTATTCTGTTCATATGGTCTCATTATCTAATAAATAATGTGTGTGAATCACCATGTTATTTATGTTAGACTTCATAGATCAATAACTTTGTTGGTAAATTTTATTTAGACATTTAGATTATGATTTGTTTTAATTGTGCACTTTCAAACATGATAAAGTATTCATGTTAGACACTTTCAGTTCAAATTTTGAATAAAAATTGTACGTGCTCTTAAACGTTTACTAGGTAGTTAAGTTAACTACATAAAATATGTCATCTCATTTGATTATATACATCAGTCTCAATTGGAACATACTTGAGATTTTACGATTTATCAACACTAATGTGTATAGTTAAAGAAAGTGACATATTTCAAGTGGTTAGCTTTTCTATATAATTGACATTTGAAAATACACGTAAGAGTTCTTTCAAATTTAATTAGATCGATATCAAATAAAAATATTTTATTATATGTTCAATTGAAACAACCCGTAGTCGAGTGTTCAATTAAAATTGAATGACAATTAGTATAAGGAACTATCGATATATTAAGCATTTATGTTGTAAATCTCTCTTATATTAGTGGAGTCATGGAAAGTAAATTTTAAATTATATAAATGATGGGTCAAATACGAGTGAGACGGCGTACACATCATTGTTTGTATTTGTAAGATTCCCTTGGTTAATTTGTTGTTGTATGGATCAAGTTGAACAAATTGGCTTATGATTCATTAATTAGCTCTTCTTGATTCAATTTATTTACGGGTATAATTAAATAATGATTCGATTCAATTTTTTTTACTCATCTGAAATCATTCAATCAATTCATTTATCACCCTTATTTACGACTCATTTGAAATGATAGTTTTTATACTCTGTATATAATTTGCTCAGATATTCTTTTTTGATTTTTTAAAATTTTGTGTTTAATCAAACTATTATTTATAATCGAAGGATATTGAAAAAAAAAATTCCATCAAAATTTACAGGGAGGAGATGAAAAAGAAAAAATAATTGAAAAGCAGACTCCATTCCAAGATATCAAGAACAAAGATACCATCACTTCATATGTTTTAAGTATTTAATTTTCTTTTTTTTTTTCTTATCTTCTTATTTTAATCATGTTAAAGAAGTTAATATTATTGTATTTTTTGTAACTTTATAATATTATCCACCAGGAGATGATGCACAAGAAATACCAAAGGTGGAACATGAGGGGGTAACTTATTTGTTGATTAATCAATTTATTTTAATCCGTTCGAAATCACTTGCCCCATTTATCCACCCCCCCCCCCCCACACACACACACTTAAAATGATAGTTTTGATGCTTTATATATTCTTTTTTTAAAATTTAAACTTTTATGTTCAGTCAAATATGATTAATAAAATTAGACAGTGGAAATATTATTTATTATTGGAGGATATTACAGGGAGGAGATGGAAAAGAGAAAATAGTTGAAAAAGAGATTATATCCAAATGTATCATCAAGATTGAAGGTATAATCTATTTATATGTCTAAATATTTGATTTTCTTCTTATTTTTCAGCTTTTTTAGTATGGTTTTTTTTTCTTTTTGTGAATCATTTTCAAGAAGTTAATATTAAATTTGGTAACTTTAATTATGATATTTAATATTCAGGAGATGATGCACAAGAAAAAATAAAGGTGGAATATGAGGAGGTACCTTAATTTCTTCTTTTGACTTTTTATTCATTATTTTTTGTATATTTTACTGTGTTTATTTCATGTTCACAAATTATATATATGTTATATTCAAAATAAACATGCTCTGAAATCTAATAATGATTTTGAAACTGCTCTCTGAGTTTTTCTTTATTTTGAATTTTAATTCCCTCTCATTTCTTTGCCTTTGCACTCACTTTAAGAAACTGTTAATTAGAGTATTTATTTTTAGTAAAAATAATTCATATTAATAACTTTAGCAATCTAATTATTTCTTTACTACTACATCAATTCTTTTGAAAAATAGCTATTTAATGATAAACGTAAAATTAAATCTCATCCAATTTTTGGATAGAATCGAACAATTACTCATTTATTAATTCAGACTATATTTTGACGCATTCAAATTCAATTTAATCAGCTTATTTATCACTTTATACACCATTTATCTAAAACGATAATTGTCCATATTTGTAATTTGCAACATGTCATATATCTTTTTAAAAATTTCTAAAATTTTCTGTCTGATTTCTTATTGAAGGATATTGCTTTATTTATCTTCAAAATTACAGGAAGAATATGAAAAAGAGAAAATAGTTGAAAAAGGGAGTCCATCCCAAGATATCAACAACAAAGGTATCATCTCTTCGATCATATGCTTAAGATTTATTTTTCTTCTTATTTTTTATCTTCTTTTTATATATTTACTTTAGTATGAAACTTTTTTTTCAAAAAAAAGAAAAGAAAAATCATCTTAAATGAAATAGTATTATTTTTGGGTAACTTAAATCATTGACTTTATTCTCCAGGAGATGATCCACAAGAAAAACCAAAGGTGGAACATGAGGTAACTATATATATTTTTCTTCCTGTTTATTAGTGTAATTTTACAAGTGGAATTTAAAGAGGATGGAATATACACAATCTTATCTTTATCTTGTGGAGTTACTAAGACTGTTTCCAGATAGATCCTCAGTTTGAGTAAAACTAAAACATATCATAAATCCAGCATGTAAAGCAAATATAGTAATAAAGAAGTCATGTTGAAAACAAAACATTGATTCTGTGACGTGAGGGGCAATGTCAAGAGCTCCGTCAATTTGTTATCTCGTGTCATATGCAACATCCTTCTTCCTTCTCGCGAAGCACGGGAGTGCATAGCACCCAGTTCAACATGTAATGTCCGATAATAATGCTAAAATAGTGAATCTATCGGTACCATAACAATAGTATAGAACTTTGAACCTAATGACCGTCCAAGTAATCTTCTAAAATGAAGGATCCCCATTAGCAACAAAAATTTGTGTCTAACTAATATACAATAACAATAATATATCTGGTGTAATTTACGAGTGAAGGTAGGTTTGAAGTTAAACATAATCAATAAAATTGGACAAAGGAGATATTATTTATTATTGAAGGATATTGATCTTTTTTTTCCTTCAAAATTTACAGGAAGGAGATGAAAAAGAGACTCCATCCCAAGATATCATCAAAATAGAAGGTATCAATCTATTTATATTTCTTATAAGTATTTTCTTCTTACAATTTTTTATTTCCTTTGATATATATGAAACTTTTTTTTTAATCATCTTTAAAAAAGTTAATACTTATTTTTGTGTAACTATAATCATGATATTATATTCCAGGGGAGGGTGCACAAGAAATAACAAAGGTGGTATGTGAGGTAGCTGAATTTCTTCTTCGAATTTTTCTATATATTATGTTTGTATTTTTTTTTGGTTCATCCGAATTTTTTTCGACATAAAATCTTACAATTTATATATGGTTAAAATTGTATTGAGTTAACAGTAAAAAAACACATTTAAACTATCTTTTTTTTTTAGTTTCATACCTAAACTATTGAAAGTGCATGTGTCTGCCCTCATGACCTCGGTTCAAAGCCAGCTAGAACCACGTTTTAAATGATTTAAAAAAAACTATTGAAAGTGTGAGAAATACACTTAAAGTCTTAAACTATCACTCGTTTTTTTTTTATTTTATGTATATGCAATAGACATTGAATCCTCTTCGACTTATTCGTATGTTTACTTCCTCATATATTAAATCCCTTAATAAAAATTCTAACTCGGCCACCGTATATATCTTTTGTTTTGATTTTTAATTGCATTTCATTTCTTTAGTTATAATAAGGGTCTAGTACTTTATTTAATTTATAGCATGATTATACTATTTTTTGGACACTACAAGAAGCATGCAATTAAAATCTCAAACTTTTTTCAAGAAAATATTATAATTTTTTTCTAATTGTTTATTATAAAAGGATATTAATTTTCTTTTTTTCTTTCAAATACAGGAAAGAGAGAAAATTGTAATACGAGAAGATCTTGCGGTTCATTCAACACCTCCATCAAAGCGTGATCCTCCCAAAATGCAAACAGACAATAATAAACTCTAGAATATCCAAAATCTAATAAATAAAAATATTTATAATTCAGAACGATAAATTAAAATTCCGAATTCGTCTCTGACAAAAATAAGTCAAATATGTTAATCGGACGATATTTGTCTTTCTATTGTATTTTTAAGTGTAATTTTGTTATTGTACTTTGAGAAGATTTCTTAGATTGTAATGTACTTGTGTTGCTTCCTTTCTTTTGACTTATTTATATAAAATTATAATAATTACTTACTTTTCTTTGATTTAATAAGGAAGAATAAAAAGTTACGAGTCAAAAATATATTTAAATTAGTTTAATTTTTTAAATTTTATATCTGAATTATTGAGAGTGTGAAATTTTTACTCGAAGTTTAAAGTTACTTCATTAATGATATCAAAATATTTGTATTTGCCTGAGGCCTCAGCCCTCATTAATTGCATATGTTGACGCTTAAAATGTTTGTGAATACGTGCTATACTACTACAAACTTTCAGATATAAATAATTTTACAAAAGTTTACTAGTCAATAATAATAATAATTAGTAATTCTTTGATAGGAAGCTTTCACATGGATCGTGGTATTTTCTTTATGTTGAACATGTATCTTTTTTTTTTTTTTTAAATATATAAATTTATGGGTCAAGTTTTATATTTAATTTTTTTTGTTTTGAAGTTCAACCTTTTTTGGAGAATTTGATATTTGAAATCATAATTTAGAATTGAAATTAAGATTTTATGCATATTTCATAAACAAACACTTATTTCAAATCAAATTTTAAGGGCCTGTTTCATGCGATGTGGAATCATTATTTAAATCAGATTGATATGAAGTTGAAATTTTGTTTGGACATACAATTTTAAATTGTTTAAGTTATATTTTTTTCAAAAACATAAAAACCCCACAAGCAATTATGAAAAGTATCAAATTTATTGAACCCAATGTTTATGCAATCTTATCAAATGAGCAAATTATAATTCATAAACAAATATTAGAATGTCCTAAGGTGCAAAATTGGTAAATCACATATCAAGTTCTTTATATAAATACAAATTTTCAAATATACATAATTTTATAAAGATTTATTCGTCATAATAGATGTCAAATATGAGTAATGATAGATCTATTAATCGCCACCAGATACCTACAATCTTCAATGAGGGTGAAACTATCACTATAACAAATAAAAGATTTTTGTCACAATTTTTAATGACAATAATATAATTGTCTATATATTATAGTTAGCATTAATAATAAATATATATTTATAATCATTAGCCTATATAATTGTCGTTAAAACTTTTAACAACTCTGATATTTAACTTATGCAAATATTTTTACGATAATAAATATTATCGCTAAAAAAATATCTATCACCTCTGAATATTTGCTAAAAGAAAAATATCTATCACTTCTAAATATCTTCTTGTTGTATTATGTATGTCCTCTAATTCACAGTGAAATTTCGGTTAAATTTAAATTCATATTGAAAAGTGCCATATTAAGAGTAAAGCACTCCCTAACAAAGATGACTCCATATTCAAAAAATTCAAACAAAATATTTAATTAAAAATCAAGAAATGTTTACTATCCACTTAGAAAGCTTAATATAGCAATTAAATTGATCTTACATCCAACATCAATAAATTATAATTTCAAAGGGTCATCCAACCCAACATCATCCCCTTTTTTCATAGAAGAGAAATTTAGTAAAAGAAAAATAAGAATATGCTGATCGTGTCGTAAAAATCATACTTTTTGTATTTTTATTTGTTTCTTTTATTTTAACCTGATACACAGTTTATAAAATAATTATAAAAAATAAATCTTAAATTAAAAATATATCAATAAAACAATTTTAATCTTATAATCTTAAATATATTAAGTGTAAAATTAAAATTAAAAAATTATTTATTTATTCATTTTTTTTTAAAAAAATAAGTCAAATAAATTTGAACTAAACATTAAAAATCTAAGAGACAATAAGTAGTGGTAGTCATGTAGCAAATAATCAAACTTGAATTAAAAAGTGACTAACCGTGCAAAAAAAAATTGTCAAAAGCTGAAATTATTGTACTGCGTGTTTGTGTCATCATTAATATTTGTCGTGATCTTCAATGAGAATCAAACTTTAGATCTATTATTGTGAAAAAAATAATATCCTATTGATATTACAATATTGATCAAAACTTTAGGGTAAATAATTGATGTGGATATATAAAGCTCATAACTGATATTATCCATAGAAATAAATCAAGAAAATCTATGGCAGTTGCGTTATTTGTCCAAGATATCAAGAACAAATTTCTAGATCTAATTAAATTCCTTATTTCTTTTGGTAAAGGTATTTCATTTTCTTCTTCTTTTTCATCTTTATTAAAGAAGTAGAAAAATATTTATCTTAAAGAAGTTTATTTTTATAACTTTGATCATGATATTATTCTCCAGGAAATGATGAGCATGAAAATTTAAACATTGAAAATGAGAAGGTAACTTATTCATTTATATATATATATATACATTTAATATTTTGTTTTGTTTTTCTCCTTTCATTAAATTCCTTGACACTTCATTTACTTCCACTTCAATCTTTTTGCTCGTGAGTGGAAAATATATTTCTATTGGAAGTTAATAATGAATTAGCAAATAAGAAGGTATTATGATTAAATTTTTTAGTATTGATAATTAATTTCATAAATTCCTCTAGTTTAGGAATTAATTAATTACTTAGATAAGCTCTAGTTTACAATATTATGTATCTTATCAGATTTTGGTACATCTGGATACATATATTTCAATTGTTCTTGATACATTGTATCTAAGTGGATTCGCATATATATATATTAGATCATCCTCTCTCTCATCTCACTGCCGCTCTCCTATATATCTACTATTCCAAATAGTGAATCACAACAGTCATCAGATACATACAACCGGTATTTATCTAGTATAATTTGCATGTATCCGGGATATATAACAATATCTCGCTCGCCTCTCTTCCTATTTTAGTGTATATATCAGCAAAACTACATATATCAAATTGTATCTTTTTCAATATATGGTAGGAAATTCTTAATTAATTGTAAGATATGTAATATTTTAAAAGTATAAATAATAATAGAATATATGATAATGAAGTATGTGTGATTACGTAGTTTCTCCTTTAAAATATACATATTTTCTTGAATAATGACTTCCGCCATATCAAACACAATGTAATGTAATTTTTATTTTGGATCGTTCAAGGTGATATTTTTTCATATATATATTTTTAGTATTTATAAGTTAAGATTTTTTTTTTAATTATTTCAAAAATAATTACAGGGAATGAATGAAGAAGAAAAGGGAGCTTTTGTAAGGCCAGCAGTAGCAAGACGTTCAACACCCCCAGGAAAACGTAAACCTCCTCGATTTCAGACTGGAAATAATATTTCCTAGCTGTAAATAAAATAATTAAATTTGTAGATTTTGAAAATATTGAATTTTTTATGGTTTTTTTAATGTAATTTGACAAGCAAAGTTTATTTTAGTGGTGAAGCACCTCTATAATCAATTGATAAATTAAAGGCTCATGTTACAAATCTATTGAGCTTTATTCAGTAGAGGTACTCGATTCAGTGATCGATTTTTAGGTTTTATTATAAGTCTTTATGTAAATCAATAGTTCAAGTCGCTCTCAAAGGTAGAACACTTGTTATTTTGATAATTCTAGTCCTATAGGATGCAAAATATATTTTTTCTCACTATATTAATAGCTAAATATACACATTCTTATTAGGGTATTTTGAGATTATAATTCTAGCATATGTGTTTTTTATTCGTCGAAAATCGATTTTATGATGACCCTTGTTTCAAAGGCAGCCCTGGGTAAGGGCTTTTACCCAAGGCTGGAGTTTTGCTTTCATGAAATAAGAAGGATAACAAAATTAAAGGTATATACATCATAATTATAACTTTTATTTTGTATTAATAATTTTACTTTTATTTTTGTCGATTTTATTTTCTAGATTACAAATTCTAAACCGTTTTATTTTATTTTGGCATCTAACAAATAAGATGAATCAATATGATCAAGTGTGTAATTAAGTCACCTAATCTAGTTATTTTTTAAACCCCCAACTATTCTAGATTATTATTTTTCAAGTGTTTGTTACATCATTATACTAAATGAAGTTTCCAAAGAGGATCACTAAAGATAAAGTCAAGTTTTTAATATTATTATTATTATATATTTTGCTTCTAGAAATTTATTTATTCGATTAATGGGAAGTTACATCATGTACGTACCGAGTTGATGGTTAACTAATGGAGAACATAGGACAAAATTACTTGATGAAGCATATTCTACTTCTTTATTATTTTTATAGTGATATTTTCAAATAATTACAAAATATAGCGAGATTATGTAATTATATATCTTATAGACACTTATATACGTATTTATGTATCATAAAAAACCTTAGCCATCACTATAACTTCATCCTCAATTGTTCGTTGTCGCCAGAGTAACTACATTGAATCTAGTTTGCCTCACATACAGTTAATGTCTTCACATACATCCAGTTTAATTAGCTTAGAAAACACATACATACACATACAGTTGGCCACACATTACAACTTATTTTTGTTTTAAAAACATATATATGCATGCATACATATACATGCATATACCATTACAATTAAATATTGTATTCACATAATTTCAATTACGACTAGATATTGTATGTGCACGGTTATAATATATTTTGCTATCTTTTGAAAGAAAAATGTTGTTACGTTTTGAAAACAAAAAAAAAAAAAAAAAAAAATATCGCTATATTTTGTAAAAAAATAAATACTGATACTAACAACACTACTTATGAAATATTCTTAAAACGGATCTAAGAGACAAAATCTAGTCCATTTAGCCCGAATTAAACTTGGGCCAATCTTGTGAACCAATATACTCTAAAATATATTAAAAATTATTATCTTTTATACTATATTCGTGCACTTTTAATTGTCATAGTTTTCTTTTTTAGAGTCAAACTATAAAAAAATTGACTAATATTTTACATTTATTTTTCATATTGATATGCAAAAAGTTGCAATTTATAATACTTTCCGTATAGTTTTTGAATTTCTAAATTTATTATTTAAAATATCAAATTAATATAATCTAATTTAACGTTGAAAATTAGTCAAATTGACTTTCCAAGAGTGCAACATGACAAATAAAAGTAAACGGAGGGAATATATAATTTGACCTAATATGAGCAGGTGCCAGAAGAAGGTAAAATTTGAAGATGGGAAGGTAACTAATCAAATAAACAAATTGATAAACCTTCCACGTACATAGTTTAAAAATAAGTTTTAAATATATAGAAGTTGAACTCGAGAAAAAGAATAATGAAAAAAACTTTATATTGGCATAAGTAAATCAATAAATCATACATATACACGTGAATGAAAGAAAAATACTCCAAATATATATTTATGTATTGAAGACATAATTAAATAAATAAAATCTGTTTTTTTTGTTTAACAACTAAATTTTGACATACTTCAATTAATATCAAAGTAGATAAAGATCATAAATTTGAATCTCGTCGCCACTAATTATATTATCTAAAAGAAAAGAAAACCTACCTGTCGGATTCACGAAAAATAATTAAACCCTTGCTGCCTTGCACATGTGAAGGCATTTAAAAGTTGGTACGTGAGAAATTACTTTTTAAATAAAATAATATGTGGGTTCTATCTTTTTCAACTTCATTTCTTTTCTTCTTTTTTCGAAATTTTGACCAAAGTAAGTTGAATTTAAAACCAATTCACCTAACTAATACGTTTTTTAAATTTTTTACAAAAGTAGTATAAACGTACTTCATAGTAAAGTTTTAGGTTATTTTTATTTTAAAAATTCAACAGACAGAACAGCTGACGGATCTGACGACGTTAAATGAATAAACGTTAATATGAGTAACGTTTTAGGTGTAAAACGTACTCACAATAACGTTTATTGAGAATCCAATCACATCTAATCCTGTAAATTCAGAATGAAATCCTGCAAATTTAAAACGCTACTCATAGTAACGTTTTACACCTAAAACGTAACTGTGAGTAATGTTTTAGGTGTAAAACGTTACTCACAATAACGTTTGTTGAGAATCCAATCACATCCAATCCTGTAAATTCAGAATGAAATCCTGCAAATTTAAAATGTTACTCATAGTAACGTTTTACACCTAAAACGTTACTTTGAGTAACGTTTCTAAAGAATCCAATCACGGGCCTTCAACTCCTGGAAATTTAGAATCGAATCCTGCAAATTTAGCTGTAAAACGTTACTATGAGTAACGTTTCACCTTAAAAACGTGACTGTTAGTTACAACACATGTGATTATAAAATAAATGTTGTTGTAAGGAATTTTTTGCATATTCCAACAATATTCATCAAAACTTTCACTTTGAGTGTTAAAATAATATTCATAAAATTTCATCAGGTATGAATTAAATAAGTCAAATTTATCATATTATGTTAAGTTCTTACTATAGCTTTAAAATTATTTTTTAAATTTATTAATATTATTTTAAAAAAATATCTTATTTTTATGTGTAGGATAAAGATGACGAGCTTTGAACATAATGTGATGGTTGCTTTGTATTGGGGTGGCGAAATAATTACGGATATGAACGGATTTAGGTATACTGAATGTGCTAGAATGATTATTAGTATGTCTACCTCAACTTACTATGTTGAATTGGTTGGATTGTTGCATGAGAAAATGGGAACAAATAGTGAAAATATTCATATGGATATTTCTGGAAAATATCCATGTTCAATTCAAGGTAACAATACAAGGTTCATTGAGTTTAAAATTGAGAATGACCAATCTTTATTACAATTTCTTTTCATACCTCAAAAATTTGCGGATAAGATTGATATAAATGTCTTGGAGATGTATGTAAAGTCCAAATCAATAGATCAAAATGTTGTATTTCAAGTTAGTGGTCATCATGGTTATCACATGAATTTATTGGCTCAAAATTATGGCTTTACCACGGCCAATCAACCTCATTTTGTAGAACCGATTGTTCAACCACCATTCCAACAATTGTCGATGCAAGGTCATTGATCATTTGGTGAAGGATCAAGTAGTCAAATGCATATTGATAATAGTCACAGAGATTATGAGGCCAGGTAAAACAACAAATCTATATTTTACTGAATTTTAGTGTAACAATTTAATAAGATAATTTTATTGTTAGTATACATAAATTATCTCTTATTGATAGAAGATTTAACCTTTTAGAGTATAAATTAATGCTTTTAAAACAAGCTTCTATATTTATAATTTTGCTAGAATTTAACTAATATTTTTTTACAGAGATAATGAGACCAATATTGATCTATATAAAGATGTAAATGCTGAAATTAGTGATGAAAGTTCGGAGGAATATGAACCTCCAAAAGATGGTGATGAAAGTGAACCTGATGAAGATATTGATGATATTAGAGATTTTTCTCAGAATGGTGTAAATCTTCATAATCATAAACAAGGCGTGTCTGAAATACAAAATCATGACATACCCTATTTCAGGACATTAGAGAATGAGGAAGACATTTTCATGTCTACATGTGAATCTGAAATGGACTATTGTTCAATTTGGTCTGAGGAAGCAAAAAAGGATTTGAAAAAAGGTATGTTTTTTAGTAGTAAAGAAAAGTTGAAACGGGCGATAACGATTTGGAGTTTGCACAAAAATAAGGAGTTTAAGGTGGTAACATCTACCAAGAGTCTATGGGTTGTGAGATGTAAGTTTTATAGTTTATTGGGTTGCTTGTGGTTTCTTCGAGGTCGAAAAGTTGGAGATAATCTTTGGAAGATAGGAAAATATGTTGAAAATCATAGATGTGAGACTGAAGGGTTTTCTACTGGTCACGCCAATCTAAATACCAATTTGATTGCATCACTGTTTTTAAATCAAATTAGCAAAAATCCTAAGTACTTGGTGGTAGATGTCATTTCAAAGGTTCATGAAAAATTTGGTCATCAAGTGACATACAGAAAAGCGTGGCTTGGACGTCAACGCGCATTTGAATTGGTGTATGGTGACTTTGAGAAATCATTTAGTGACCTACCTAAATTTTTTGCAGCGTTTCAACACTTTAACCATGGAACAGCTGTGGAATGGAAACACGAAGAGTCTATGAGTTCATCAGAGGTAAAAACTTTTAAATTTGTATTTTGGGCTTTCAAGCCATGCATAGATGGATTCCAAACATGTCGCCCTGTTATTTCAGTATATGGAACTCATATTTATGGAAAGTATGAGATCAAATTATTAATTGTTGTTGGAATTGATGGAAATGATAACATTCTTCCTTTAGCGTTTGCTATTGTAGACAAAGAGTCAAAAGAGGCATGAAAGTGATTTTTTAGAAATTTGAGTGCACATGTGATAAAAAGTAGACAAGATGTATGTGTTATATCTGATAGGGAAAAAGGAATCTTGACTAGTTTGCAGGAGTTGCGGCGATTTCAAGAGCCTCGAGCCTTTCATCGATTTTGCATAAGGCATCTGAAGAGCAACTTTCAATCGAAATTTCCAAACAAGGACCTCAACAGACTGATGTGGAGGGTTGCTTCAGCCCATCAAGTAAGGAAGTTTGAATCCTTGATGTGAAAAATTAGAGAAGAAAATGTCGAAGCACATGAATACCTCATGGAAATTCCCTTGGACAAATGGACTGTTAGCCATGATGGTGGAAAAAGATGGGGAGTGTTGACAACAAATCTTTCAGAGTCGTTCAATGGAGTGTTGAAAAAAGCACGAGGTTTGCCTGTCACTACTATGGTTAGACTTTCATTGGAGCAAACTATTGAACGGTATACCCGTAGGTCTCAAATAGCGCACCAACTTGCAGAACAAAATGAATTATGGACTGAGAGGTTCAAAATAAAGTGGGAGAAGAATTATGAAAGTTCAAAAAGGCACTTTATTTTTTATTGAAATATACCCACATGGGTATACGAGGTTATATCAATACAAGCTGATGGTACTAGTGCTAATCCTCATTGTGTTTCACTGAATGAAAGAAAATGTGATTGTGGAAAATGGGTTAATTTGCACTTCCCATGTTCACATGTCATGAAGGTAACTGATAGAATGGGAGGGCTAGCTAGAAATTTTGTTAGCGAGCATTTCACAATAGAGAGTTATGTTGCAACATATTCTGGGTCATTCTCACGGCCTATTGGTCATGAGGCATATTTGCCATCTCCAAGTTTTACAACGAGAAGTAATGAATTCTATCGTCATCCTAATCGGCCAAGGACAACTAGAATACCTAATGAAATGGATCGTGGTTCTACAGTGTATGAGCGAGATTGTGGATTATGTAGGCAGACTGGACATGATAGGCGTCGATGTCCCAATCATAATTAAATTTAAGTGAATAGTTATGGGTCGATGTCTAATTGTGTTAATTTCCTTTCAGTTATCTACTGTAACTGAAATAATCATTAATCTTTTGCAATTATGTTATTAGTGCATAAATTTTTCCAGATTTTCAGATTGCTAATAGAGGAAAAATTATTAGTGTTAATTTCCAGATTTACAGATTTCCAGATTGCTAATAGAGGAAAAATTATTAGTGTTAATTTTCAGATTTACAGATTGCTAATAGAGGAAAAATTATTAGTGCATAAAGTTATCTACTGCATAAACTTAGAAATGTAGAGGAAAAAACAAACTTAACTTAGAAATGCTCAAATTGCTAATACTTTAAACAACTCGAAATGTTTGATATTATATAATTGGACACACAGCTAATACAAGATTGATTTACATGATTTTTCACTTCTTTCTCTTTCAATACTTCATGGTCCAATAAATGCCGGGACACACAACTCTCGAGTAGAAACTCCAAAATTGAAATCCAACGCCAGAAATTAATGTCATTTACTTCGTCCAAATAGCTTTGCACAAGCTCGCAAGTGAGATCATTATACTGGAACAAAGAATATAATCAGGACCCAAAGTAGGTCTACAACATAATGGAAATACTCAGGAGATAAACTAAATATCTCACTGTAGAACATGTCCCAAAACCCATAAATCTTGAACAATTCTCAGCAAATGAAAGCGTTAATACTCACATTGCTTGGAGCAGCACAATGATTGATATTTACAATGATCGACTTAAGAGAATATATCACTAGTTAAAGCATAAATAAAATGTAATATATTATTTTTCAATTGTATCTAATAGCTACAAGGAAAAAAAAATTCACACAGTAAAGAAATTAAGACAACCTTTATAAAAGTTTAATGAAGATCTAAGTAGCATTCATTCTTGATATTAGCAGTCTTAATTACAATGAATATTCTTTGACTAAAGAACTTTCACAGCCTTGTTTCCTACAAGGCCTAATCATTCTCCAAACCCTTGAACAAAAGTTCCATGATATCTACATAAGATATAAACTCTGCAAGTAATGGCTAACCAAAAAATTCAAAGGGAAGATAAGAAACAGATAATGCATAGTACCTGTGGCATTTCGAGAAAGAGCAAAGGAAAAGAGGAGAGAGATGGATCTGCAAACCGAAGGGAGAAGAGAGATGAGAGGGAGGACGAGTACAATGAAACCTCTCAATTACAGTTCTTTGTTTCTCTTTGCTTGTTTCTTTTTGCCATGCTGGCGAAGATAGTGACTCCCTGACAAACAAGGGTAATTTTAAATTATTCAACTAAAAAGAGGAACATTTATGTCAAAAAATAATATAAAGATGTTAATAGTACCAGTCCCACAACGCTTAGAAAAAATCGTACGTTTCTCCTTCACTGATGGTTCACCACATTCGTTTGCATTCTCCACTTCATTGTTGGAATCATCCAACTCATTACTTTCTATATGATTGTTGGAGTCCACTAAATGATTAACAACATTAGGGGTCTCAATGGACATTGGCAGCCCAGGTGATGAATTAAAGTTGGGGGCATTCTCAAAATGTTGAGGCCGAGAACCACCAAATACATTCTCAAGTGACGAAAGACTTGAATTCCTTAATATTTGTGACCTCGTGTATGGGACAATATCAATATTTGTTGGTTGATATGTCATACCTGATGCCCCAGGAGTGAACTCCTGAGTTTGGCCCCTTGAAATGAAACCAATATCAGAAGTTGTGTGATCATCTTCGGAGACTGATTTGTCAATTTCAATAGGCGTTCGTCCTTTCTCAATAGCACGAGCCATCCTACCAGTAACACCACCTTTTCCTCGCCTACGAACAGGGGAATGTAAATGATCATCATGCACCTCATCTCTTCTACAATCGGCTTGTACATTAATCCTATCAGCCTCGTGCACATATGTCAAGCATTTTTCTCCTTCGTTCCAGACCATTGCACGAAATATGTATAAATCCTCCATTGATGGCTGATCACCAAGTGCTCTGGTTCTATCAACCATGGAATAAATATGACGCACCTACACAAAGATCAATTCTTTTTCTAACAAGCATTTTCGATTCTTTTTTCTAACAGATGCTCAAACAAAGATCAATCTGAAGCACTTATATAATATTTTCTAAGAAAAAACATAGGTAACAATTTTCCAAGTCAAATTTTTTGAGAAGAAGTAATATCTACCCTGCCATTGATATATCCTCAAAAGATAAATCACAAACACACGAAATCTAATACATACCATTGTTTCATATGCCGTTGAATTTGGTACATAACCTTCTTGTTGTTGAGGACGTTGAGTAGGATTACCGATAACAAGACGAGTAATGCGTCTGAACCAAATAAGGTAAGGGTCATCATATCGAAGTGGTTCACGATTGAACGGTGCATCACAAATATATTGAAGCTCTTGGTTCCAAAAAGGCAACTATTGTGCATGGTCCAACTTCCAATTTGTATTTGGTCTGCCCCTACGATTATGGTGAAAATGTGTGGCATCAAATAGAAATGGAGTTGGTGTCGTTTGTTTCAATCCAAATTGTCTCATAACTCGATTAGGCAAGTGAACCTCGACGACATCCCAACAAAAAATTGGAGCTCTAACACACTATATGTCTCGTCCAATTCGACAATAGTCAGGAAGATTCTCAATTAAGTCATCCGAATATGGTTCCCAAATAAACTACATAAAGAGAAAAGAAATGAGTTTCAACTACAATATATACATAAAAAAAATTTAAAAAACCTGTATACCATCATTCCTGATCCTCTGTCATGGAATCAAGTGCATCCCTAAAAACTTTCAACACATGCTTAGTGGTATCAGTCCAACTAAAATGTGCAAACCATCTAGTAGCATGTGGACCCCTAGGTAAACCAATAAGAAAATTATTTTCGGTGTCCTTTTGTGCTATTACCTGAGGTTTGAGGACAGTAACTCTCTCCCATGCCCAAATCTAAACATAATATATAAATATATAATTATGAGATTATAAACTAGAAGAAATATTTATAAATAATTGATGTAGTTATTAAGTATACCTGGAGTAGTGGTAGAAATCCAGCTATCTCGTTTTGGTTACTCTGTGAGGCCTTACAGAAAAAGCGATACAAGCACGCTAAGGTTACACTACCCCAACTATAAGAGCTAATTACACTGAGATCCTCGAGCATAGGAAGGAACATAAGCTTTAAATAGTTGCCAGATGTATCTGCCATCATCATACCAGCAATCATCCAAAACATGTAACATCTAGCCATTTGATTGATCATATCTTGTGTTGCCAAGTCAGGTAACTGTAGTTGCTTGAGCATATGTGCATTAAGTGCAGTTACCTTGAGGCTACTACGGTTGAAGTCTTGAGGACGTGGAATAAAACCTAACAATCTTTGACAAATATTTTGCCAATTCATTATGGTCCTTATCGACTCATCACCAAGTACTAGATCACCATTCACAGGTAAGCCGTACAACACTTCTACATCTTGCAAGGTGATTGTCGCCTCACCCGTCTTAAAGTGAAACGTATGAGGCTCAGGACACCATCTCTCTACTAGTGAAGTGATCAAACTACGATCAATACTAGGTCGATTTGATCTATAAACACCATATAATCCTGATAATTCAATCACTTCTAAGACTCATGGATGAATGGGATATTTCTTTACGAGGTCCCAAAATTTTCCATCACACCTCCTCGTATTTAAAATCATATTAACATTTCCATCCCATATATCCCGTGACCTATGGGTAAGTTGTTGAGTTAATACTGATGGTTCAAGTGGACCGGGATCCAATTGGTATGCACTATAACCAGTCATATACGTATCTATTAAAATGAAAAACACGTACGAAAGTAAATTAAATATTAATGTTAGTTCAAAATATAACAAGCAAATCAAAATAAATGTGCTGTCACCTAATGTTTCATTAAAATTTTGGAAAATGAACTCAATTTTAGTAGAGGTCGATTGCAAGTCAACCTGTTATAGTCTTCCATTCCATTTTCATGTGAACATGTTTTTCATTGTTTCTCTTTGCATCAACAAGATGTATCAATTCAAAATGAAAACACAACATACAAATCAGAATTTCTTGAGTGATTATTCTATATAACCAAAACGATGTAATTCGAGAAGATAGAAATTCTAAAATTCAAGCATTCCTTTTACTATTTTGTAAGGAAAAAAAAACATACCTCAAGGCTCTAACACAGGAAAAAAAACTTGATTCCAAGCTTTTCGAAAGATTTATAGCCATAATTTATTGTGAAACTCGATATAACAAGAAATCTCCAAAATTGATTTTGAAATAGAAGAGCTATCGTTTATCCATGAAATTAGGTTTTGACCTGAACTAGGCCAATCAAGAATCAGTGAACAGAGCATACACATGAATAAAATATAACATTCATACAGGGATTCAAAGATAAAATTGATGATCTCTCCGTCTAGTTGCAACAATAACAGTTAAGGAAAAGAAGGCATGATACAAGACATGGTGGAGTACAACACAACAAAGATTAAATTGCTTACTGAGAACTCCCGAGTCACCAGTGAGCTGGATCTGAGTGATGCTGGGGTCGTTGGTATTCCGGTCAATCACCGCCAAGGGTGACTACCTCGCTGCAAAGAGAAGAACAAGAACGTCAGGGAGCTCGATTCGTAGCTGCAAAATCTTGGAAATGGACTTGGACACATACCTGGAAAGAAGCTGAAGGGCCTGAGATGAAGTGAAAGAAGAAGGTTTCTCAAAACCACCATAGTTGTAGATCTGGACTAACCAATGTATTTTGGAAAGTTCCTTTTGTATTTTCTTTTGGTATTTTTGTTTTGTTTGGATGGTGACATTTGTGGATATGAATGAATAAAAGGTCCACGTGACCACAATTCACTTTTTTTTTAAAAATATGTGGGTAACGTTTTTCACTTAAAACGTTACTATGAGTAACGTTTTACACCTAAAACGTTACTCATAGTAACGTTTATTTATTTAACATCGTCAACCCCGTCAGTTTTTGTCCGTTGAATTTTTAAAATAAAAATAACCTAAAACGTTACCATGAAGTACGTTTATACTACTTTTGTAAAAAATTTAAAAAGCGTATTAGTTTGGTGAATTGGTTTTAAAAATAGCTTATTTTGGTCAAAAATTCCCTTTTCTCCTCACTCTTCTTTTTTTATATTTCTTCCCATTTGTTTTTTTTAATTCTTCTATTGATTAGTTTTTCAAAATCAATTTCTTTAGTCGTTAAATATATTTATCTAATTATTTTTTATTTTACATACATACCTTTTAGATACATTAATTTTATTTTAACTATTTTATTATCATATCAGAAATATAAGAAAGAAAAATGAGGAAGGAAATTACAAGATGTAAAATTAAATATTTATCTACGAGAAGAAAATCTAAATAGTCAATCAATTAGATTATTAAAATTTCTTATTTGAAATGTGTAGATTATAATCTAATTTTTATGTATATCTAATACAATTATGAAATTTGACTTTTCAAGTTACTTATAAATACCAACATTGTACATGTCATTACGCGTCAAAATATTGAAAGAAAAGTTACCATTATTCTCTTTCTTATCTTTCTATTTAAGTTTTAATTTAATATATTATTTTCCCTTATATTTTAATTTGACTAGATGTATACTAATATATTCTAACTTAAGCCGAGCTTCCCCAGAATCATTTTTTCTTTAAAAAAAACTTGATCCTTCACATTAAATTATTCTAGAAAATTAAGAGGCACATAATAGATCAAATTTTTTTTAAAAAATAAATAAGAAATATATTAAGTAAACTACACTCTTAATTAATTATTTTTTAAAGATTACACAACCACAACATGACAATTAAAGATCAATATTCTGCAAGGCACACTAGTATGAAGTACCATGATAGTGTTGGAAGAAAAAAATAAAAATAAATCAGAAGTGTGTTTGCTTTTTGAAGGAACTTGAATCATTTTGAAGTCAAAAGGTCATTCTTTTCTTTAGATAGATTTGTGTCAATTAGGTTCACACTAAAAGACGTGTTAAAAATATAATTAAAAAAATAAAAATGTATTTTAATTTTTATTTAATAGACTTATATTTTAAATTATCTAATCACATACTCCAACACTTTCATAATTATATATTCCATTTTATAAACCTAATTAGAAAATTCAACCTCTTCAAGTCCCGCAATTTATAGAAGAGAATAATGCACTTCCATATAACGAGGAATAACATTTGCAAGATCTACATTAGAAAAATGTATTAGTAATGCAACAATAATATAGAAGTTTTGTCTAAAAATAATAATAATATAGAAGTTATTAAGATAAAACTTATATATTTATGAATTATTTTTATGCACTAGTACATCAAAATAGGAAATATGAGACTTGAAACTGCTACAATGAAAGGTTTCAAAATCTAAACATGCTAGCTAGCTAGTGAATTTTGATCTTTATATATAATCTATATATACTACACGATTGAAATGCAATGACTTATTCGTATATGTAATTTTTTATATATTTTTTAAAAAAACTTTTAGTGAAAAATTCTGATTATGTCGATGATTACTTGCTAGCTAGTAAATTTAATCTCTATATCCAAATAGCATTAGCCTTTAGAAGCAAGTTTTTGAGCTTGCCTCTAACATTAAGACTTATAATCTCATTAGAACCACCAACAAACTCTTCTCCAATGAACACAGCTGGCACACTTGATTTACATCCTAGTAATTCAATCAATGCCTTCTCCATTTCCTTCCCATTTGAAAGTTTATCGAGCTCGTAAACGGTAGGGTTTGCCCCAAAACCTCGAATTAGGGTTTCGATGCTGTGAGAGATGCAGCAAGTGCTCTTGCTAAGAATCACCACTGGACTTTCTGCTCCCAACTTCATCACCATATCCATGTTAATTTAGACCTTGATTAAAAGAAATTATATAGTTTTACTATATGCTATATATATATATATATATAGTAAGTTGATGTTTTTGTTTTTGTGTGTGTGTGTGAAGATCGATGTGTTAATAAGTGAAGAAAAGAAGTTTTGTAGCTTGTAGTGAGTTTGAGACTTGACAATTGTTATGAGAAATATGAAGTTGTAGAAGGGTATATATAAGGCTTAAAATGATGGGATATGCTATATGCTAATTGATGAACACTACAAGAAAACTGTGAATTACCTAGGGAATTTATTTGGGGATTTCGTCAGCAGATTTTTCTTGCAGATTTTCATGGGAAAAATATGATATTCCTAAATTCTAATATATTTTATCTGCGAAACAAATTTCCCAAAAATATCCGCAGCTAAATTTGGCGTCATTTTCCACAAAAATATTACCTAGGGAATTATGTGGGAAATTTATCTGCAAATAATATTTTCATAAATAAATCCACAAGTAAATGAATAAAATAAATTCCTTCATTGATTCGCAGGACAATTCCTTAGTAAAACTACTTGGGGATTTACTTAGGGATAGTTTTATGGGGATTTACATGGAGATTTTCTTACCTGGGGATTTAGTTAAGAATTTAATTCTGCGAATTTAGTTGGAAATCTATTTCTAGGGATTAAACTAAGTACTACATTACCTAAAAATTACATGAGAATCTTTTTATTGCTTATTTAGATGGAAATTTATCTTCAAAATTTACTTGATAATTTTATTAAATAGGAAATTACTATGGGGTCTTTTTATGGTGAATTTAGCTTAAAAGAGTTGCTTGAAAATTTACATGAGAATTTTATTACTTGAAAAAATACTTGAGATCTTGGTTCTAGATATTTAACTTAGTACTAAACTTTAGGGAATTTATTTGTGGATTTTCTTACTAGAAAATTATTTTTATATTGTGTTGTGCTGAGTTAAAAAGCTTTTGTAAACTTTTAAGGTTGTTTTAAGAAATATGAATAGTTTCTATTTAATGATAAATATCAGGCTTAAAAAAAGTAATATTTGTATGCAATATTCTCACTCTAATAAGGTGAAAGAAAAGGTTCAAAGAAACAATATAAACCTAATTATTAATGACAATATTACATTTTTAAAATTTATATAGGGTGAAAAATATTTACATTTTCATTTTTAAATAATAGATTTCTTTCTCATCATATGTCAATTAAATTTATTTAATGCTTATTTTAATATTATATTATCAATAAAAAAACTTTTAAAAATCATTTTTTATTTTTTATTTAAATCCATCTAACAAATTTACCCATGGAAAAAAATAATATAATTTTCAAGACAAAGAATGAGTATATAAGTATGATAGTTCTTTTAAAAACACATCTATCATTTAGGTAAACAAATGTGAACAATTGATAGTTGAAGTATATTTTGATAAATAGTTGATGATAGTTAGGTAGAGAACTCGCAAATCTGATACTTCAGTTATGAAACTAACAAAAATCTGAATTCTTTAGATGTGTATTTGACCATTCACTTCTAAAAAATAAGGAAAAAAATAATTTTATAATAAAGTTGAGAGATATAAATGATTTTCACCATTTATTATTTTGCTATCAATGTCATTAATATTTATTAAGTTATTTAAAGTTGATTGTACGTAAAATTCAGTCCCCTATTAACTGTATTTTTTTTTTCAAATTAAAAAATATTTTTTTACATTTAAATATAGTGGATGAAAAACTGGGTAGAAATATAAATTTACTCTTTGTACCACATCGGCTATGCGAAACTACATATTGGACATTATAGTAAGCAAATCCCATAGAACAATGATCATTTCAATGACTACGGATATGAGCTATAAATGTTATTAAAAGAATTAATTAATAAATATAAAAAATTGAACAAAATAATTAATTAAGAATTAATAATTAATAAATATAGGAATAGCACACCCTATATAAATTAAATTAATCGTTTTAAATGAGATGATCATACAAATTATTACAATGTCAGAGTGGACAGATAAATGAGATTCGTTTCTCACAACCATTTATTATTGAAGAGAATTAAAGAATAATTGCATTGAAAGAAAAAATATTTTATTAAAAACTTTTATGATCCGATCCATAAAAAGAAAATATAACGGAAACGAATACACTTGTAAGGATTATACATAGATCTTCTTCTCTTTTTGTCTTAAACTTCAATATTATTCTATTATTCTTTTTCAATCCTATAGAATATATAGGCATCTTAATTTTGATTTGGGAAAATAGAAGCCGAGATATCGATCGATAATGACCATGATGATGAAGAGAAAACTCGATTAATATGTTTCTAAATTTACAAGCTTTTAAAGAAAGACGAATCTTATATCAAAATACAAATGAAAAGTGAAGAATTTTATAAAATATAACACATTCATGGTCAGTATGCTTTTGGATTTGATAATAACGTAAACTATAAGACTTGTTGAACCAAAATAAATAATACGTGAGATGAAATTGAATTGTGACAATAACCTAATAAAACATATACTTTTGCATGAAGTCTATAATATTATATGTGCCAGTGAAGAGGTATCTAGATAACTCTCCAACTTTATAATTGACTTTGCTTTAGTTATTAGCTGTATATAATTGGAATAAATTCTTATCAAATATTCCAAACATTAAATCACATGATGAGGAGGAAAAAAGTGCATGCATCGATCTCCTTATCGTAAAAGTGAAATTAATTTGGTCCTTGAGCTAGGGAAAAAAAAGGGTCGATTGCAACTTTGAAAGGCCATATATTATATTAATGATACAAGCAAGCCGTGACTTTCATTAACATAGAAAGCCACGAATATTATATAGTTCGATCAAGTAATTTATCAATATGATTGAAATATACATAATGCATATAGCGAAAGTGTTTATGTTGTGCATAAGTATTTATATATGTATATTTAGTAAAAGCATATACAATTATACATTTTGTATATATTTTATAAATTAGTTGGTCAAAGTGTTTAAACTATAATTATCCATAGATAGATCTACCCTGACCCTCCTTTTGTTGTTCGTAAAGTGTTAAAAGGCAAATAAATGGATAACTTACGAAATTCCCACTAGTTTAAGCGCTAATTACTTGGATACATGTTAATTTGCAATATTACGAATCTTATCAAATTTCAATTTTGCAAATGTTCGACTTACTGTTAAAATGGGCTTATTATATATGGGCCGGGCTAGGTTCATTTAGGTCCACTTGTTGAGTCTTTTACTTTGACCCACTATCACTACTAAAAAAATTACTATTTTTCCACTGAAATTTCTCACCGAAAAATGTTTAATGGTTTGACAAATATTTTAATTGAATAGATGAGAAAAGAAAAAAAAAGTGATGTTTTATACGGAAAAATTAAGAAGCTTCCTACTATTTTAGTGAGAATTTGTTTCCTGCCATTCATTTTTCTAGTGAGTTGGTTCGATAAGAAATGAGTGGAAAAAATCATGTCCTCTCTAGCACAAATTTCCTATTAATTAATTTGTGGTGATTTTTAAAAAAAAGTAGTGTATAGTAACCTGCTCCATTGTAATTGATTGGTTTATTTTCATTCATCATTTCCTTGAAATTCCTCGAAGTATCGCTTGTGAGAGTTATGAGGTTCGAAAAAAAAGGAAAGTTGAGTCTGAGGTCTATCACACCTTATATATATTAATATCATTAAGTGAAATTTCTGACTTCGTCACTATGATACAAGAAAACTCATATTATGTACCGATGAAATGACCATCGAAGATCTAAAATTTGATGAATTTTATTTTTAAAACTAACTAAAGTTCTGTTGGGTTTAGCAAAGTGTGAATGAGAAATAAAAAGAGAAAATGGAAAGTGGAAGAACCAATGAAAGTGGGGGAACCAATTTTGGAGGGAAAAATGAAAAGTCATTGCAAAGTGCAAATAAAAAGTCATTTTTACCATATTGGTAGAAGAAAGGAAATTGATGTCCTTATATTAGGAAACACTTCCTTTAGTTCTTAAAGGGTTAAGAAGAAGGTGCCCCTCGCGCCGTCGTCATCGCTCGCTGGGCTTCGGCTTCGATTGACTATAATTTTTGGACAAAATTTATTTAATCAATCTTGTTAATTCAATTCTTTTCTCTTATAAATTAATTCAGAATATTAGTTAAATAACGAAATTAATTTCGCAATGAATTATTTGAAATTCGCGCGTAACGGTAAAATTCGTTTGAAAGAATTTGTTCCTTCCGAAAAGTCATTACTTTTCCCAAAAGACACAACGTTCTGGAAAAAATGGGTTTAAACAGATTTGTCTGAACAGACACGTTCCTTGCTGCTAATGGCTATAAATAAGAGGTCGTTTTCGTTTTTCAAACACTGAAATTTTTTTCCTCTCTGCATACATTTTCTTACATAAACAAAATTGTGGACCGACTGAGTCTGTATGTGCTCTTGTTGTTGTTCTTGCATTCGCTGAAGTTATTGAAGTTTGAGGTACCGCTACTTCTCTAACAGGTTAATCCGTTTATCTTGGGAGGAATTAATTTGCAACCTCGGGTACAATGAGGGGATTAAATTTCTTATGGAAACACAGTGATTTCTATGAACTCGGATTAAGAACATTCTGTCTATTTCATCTTTTTTCTGTTTCTGCATTTTTGACTAACCTGAATACAGGAGATAACAAGTTCATCTACTAATATTCTTTGTACATGGTTGAAATTCCACTAGAATTTAGGTGAGACACGATCTTAATTAATCTATTCATTGATAAAATTTGATGCTACTTGATAAGAAGTATTTTTGTCCATTTTATATTAAAGTTTAACAAGATCGATTCCTAGCGTCCTTGTATGCCTTTATGCTCCTAGAATTTTCTATTCCCTCTTTCTTGTGGCAAAAAATGAACAGCTAAGTTCCAAAAGTAACCGTCATCGACATAATCAAAATCAGAATTTTTAGTTTATAAGTTATAAATTACACAATAAATTTCGGCCAAGTGGGGAGATTGAGAGATATAAAGCAAGGGTAGTAACATGAGGATTCACACAAACTAAAGAAATAGATTATGACAAGACCCTTTCAACGGCTGATTCAGATATTTCATTAAAGGTGTTCAAATATTAATATATATATACGCACGAAAAAATAATTTATAACATATATACTTTATATATATTTTTTATATATTGCAATGTAATTTTTTGACGAATACTGCTCAATTAAACACCCATCAATGTATGTGGCTACGCTACTCAAGGGCGACTCCCGCTTACAAAAATTAAGGTATATGTGCATGCCTTAAGCTTCTAAATTTTGGGCGGCCTTAGATATTTTTCAAGAATAAATTATGTGTATTTTATAGAAAAAAATAATTATTTGAGATTAAAAAAAATATATTTTTTCTTAAAAAATTATTATATTATTTTATCCTCCTCAACCTTATTCAAATAGAAGAAATCAAGAAAATGTTATTTTGCCTTCTTACATTCTTTTCGCTAATACTCATATTGTTTTATATTTATAAATAAACTCTTTTTGTACACTCTTTCTTCAAATCTTTGATAAGCTAGAGTAACACTTTGTCGAAAATATGAATCAATAGTCGAAAAGTGTTGAACAAAGTAAATTGCATTTTTTTTAAATTTCTTCTTAAATTTTCAAGCGTTATCCCAAGCATATTAAAATAAGGTATACCAAGGTATAAATTTCTTGAATTCAACTCTTATCTTTATTTAAAGTTTGTCAACATTTACTTATAGAATTACGTTAGCCATTTATATAATGATTGCCTCAATAAAAAGATGTTTTTCAACTTTTGAATTGATAAAATCTTACTTAAAACTAACAATATTAAACAAGGATATTCAAAGAAATCATGTATAAAAGAAATACTACGTACTAATTTGCATTAAAAAGATAGAAAAATAAATTATAAATAAATATATCTAAAGTTTATTTTAATTTTAGTCCTTTAACTGAATTTTCTCTTTAAGCCTTCTATTATGTTGAGGCTCCTTTGACGCTACTGCAAATGTCATTCAAGTCTACTGATTTGTTAGAATTATAAATTTTTTTATCTATTAAATTCTGAATATATTATTTAGTGGAGGTAAATTATCATATTTGTTTAACCACAATGTGCTAGCTACATCAATTAAACATGAAAAGTACTCATAAATATTGCAAGATCTAGTTTAGAATAAGCCTTAGAGGTGCACCATGGAGTAGTAATTAATACCCTTGTAAAAGCATACTTTTATTATAAGTACATAAAAGAAACACCAAAGATATACTTAGTAGCTAACTAGTAATTAGTTGATTTATATATTTACTTTGACTTATTGATCATGTATTTACTTTTATATTATATATTTTGAATTTTTTCTCACTGAAAATTCTGATTTCGCCTTGATAATCCCTATATCCAAATAGCATTTGCCTTAAGAAGCAATTGTTTGAGCTTGCCTCTAACATTAAGACTCATAATCTCATTAGAGCCACCAACAAACTCTTCTCCAATGAACACTGCTGGCACGCTAGTTGATTTACACCCTAGTAATTCAACCAATGCCTTCTCCATTTCACCATTCAAAACTAATTTATCGACTTCATAAACCTTAGGGTTTGCTCTGAAACTTCAAATTAGGGTTTCGATGCTGTGAGATATGCAACAAGTGCTCTTAGTGAAAATCACCACCGGACTTTCTGCTCCTAACTTCATCACCATATCCATTTTGAGACCTAAAAAAATTGTTTTGGCTAAAAATAACCTTACTTTTGTGATTGAAATTAATAGATATTGTGAAGGTTTAATTTGTAGAGAGAAAAAAAAAATTATATGTTGATTTTTCGAGGCTTAACTTGCTATGAGAAAATTGAACGTGTAGAAAGTTATATATATATATAAGATTTAAAGTGGTGGGATTAATGAACGGAATTTTTTTTACACAATTCCAAAAGAACAATGCAAAGTTAGTGGATATATATGCAAATTATTCCTTGGTCATTTGATGATTCACAAAGGCTTATTTCACTTGTTGCTTGAAGTCATAATATTTTCCGTACGTACCAAGAGGAAGAAAAAAGTATTAAGGGTGTGTTTGGTACGACGGAAAATATTTTTAGATATTAGAAAATATTTTTTCTAGAAAAATAAATTTCTTAAAAACGAAATGTACGTACAATCTCACACTAATTAATTAATTGTTTCCTCTACACTCTTTAACGTATCCCTCCCTCCACCCTACTTTCGTAGCCCCCATCCCCACTACCTCCCACGCCCCTAGTACTCCAAACCTTCATTACATGGTGTTTGAATAGATTATATACAATGTTTATATTTACTTGTCAAACATCAAAAAGTAAGTAAGAAATTAAATTACTTATCTTGATAGAAAATATTTTTGGCAAACATTCTCGTTCATGCCAAATACGCCGTAAGAAACATTTGTTTATTTTATCATATCTAACTAATAAAAAAGAAAATTAAAAAAAAAAAAATCAAGTGTCATCCTTCATATAGAGGGTCATATAAATGTCATTTCATGTTAATTGTTTCCTCATCCCTTAATACTTCAACCCTTCATCACCAAACCTTCACCTTCACCCCCACCCCCACCCCCACCCCACCACCACCCACCCATCCCCCACATGGCCACCTCAATTACCATAATAATTTTATAATTATGTCTGTGTGAAATAATATTTTTGTTTACTTATTAAATATCAATAAAAAAAAAATCACTCATGCATTTTCTAACATTTTTTTTTTTTTTTAGAAAAACATTTCTTTCGTACCAAACATGCCCTAAGGAGAAATCTAGATGACTCTCCAAACTTTTATTTTGATGATAAATTGACTTTACTTTAGGTGGATATTGGAATAAATGCTTTTCAAATATTCCACAGAGCAAATCACATAACTATGAAGAAAAAAAAAAGAGTACTACTACTAATTAATGTATGTACTTATCATCAAGCAAGAAGAGAAAATGGTCGGCTTGCTACTTCGAAAGGCCATTTATGATCTCATCTCAATTTTTTTCTTTCCTATAGAGATGAGATACTCGGTTCGTTTCAATTTATTTGTATTACTTTTTTTATAGTTGGCTTATAAATCTTTTGGTTATAACTTTTTAATTCTAATTTTTCATATGACATGTCTAAGATCACAAAATTAATTAATGACATTCTGATACATTCTACATATTTTTACTTTAAAATCACATGATTTAAAAGTTTTTTTCTTAAATTCGTATCAAGTTAAAACCAAACAAATAAATTGAAACGAAAGGAGTATAAAATTATAGAATCAACAATACTGCAATTTAACTCAATAAAAACTCATGCATTCACGTGAATTTGTTTATATATATATATATATATATATATATATAAGGTCTAGGCATTCATTTATGCTCTTAAAATTCCATGACATTAATTATATCTGACAGAAGTCGATAATTTATCATAAACAATCTATCTACCTTTAAATTTTTTGGATAATAACAATATCTGAGTACACATTACCTTTTTCAAACGCCAATTATAAAATTATACTCTACTTAATATGTTATGTATTATTGTTTCTGTTGCAAAAGAGAAAAAAGATAACAAAACAAAAAGAACAAGGAATACACAGACCAAAGTATAGAGAGAGCAAGTAGAAGTGGTCATATGTGTGTTTTTGTGTGCACCAAAGGCACATCACACTTCTCTTTGTGCTTTAGATGAGTTGATGTGATCTTTTTAATTATAAACAAATCTTGTTATAATAGTCGTTTGATTTTCTCCGGAATTGATTTTTGATGTTATTACTTCTATATAATAACATTTACTTGTAATAGTAATGACATTCGTTATAATGATGCATTCTCTGTAAAATTACTTTTCTATAAAATTATAATAGTCATACTCAAACATTATGTATAAAAGAAATATATTATAGATCAGAATAAAATATTAAAATATCTATGATAATCATCATTAGTGTGTGTTTGGTATTTATAGAGGAGAATGTTTTCTTGAAAATAAGTGATTTTCTTATTTATGATCAAAAGTCGAGTATAAAAATATATTATGTATCAAAATAAAATATTTATGATAATCATCGATTTTGATTTTTTCTTACATATGATAAAACAAATGTTGAGAGTGGGATTTGAACCCACGCCCTTTCGGACCAGAACCTTAATCTGGCGCCTTAGACCAACTCGGCCATCTCAACATATATTTTTACATATTGCGCATTACTTATTAATTATATCAATAATCATCTCTACAAAATCATCTAAACTAGCTAATAAATTTATTTACTTATTCTCTCTGTCTCTAATTACTTGTCCACTTTTGAATTGACACACCTATTAAGAAAATAATGATTGACATAGTGAGTTTACCATTTTACCTCTATTAATTATGAAGTAGATGAATTAAAAATTTAAGAGTTTCAAAAAGTTATACATTTTTCAAAGTAATTAATTGAGGATATAATAGGTAAAAAAAAAAACTGTCATTTCTTAATTTGTTAAAAAAGACAAATAAAAAAAAAAATTGGACAAGTAATTAAGGACAGAGAAAGTATTATTTTTGACTCACCATCTAACGAAAAGGTCATGGATCAAATTTCATTCGCACAAAATATCCAATTTGTGATAAATATTCGATGAAATAGTCAAATACATCCAAATTTGACATGAATATCATCGTTATCAAAAAATAAAATGTAGGATAAAGCTCCGGACAATAAGAAGCAATCATCAACACTCGATTTCTTAACAAACAATTGTTGTTAATCATCAAAATGTGGAAAAAAAAACAAGAATATTAATTTACTATTTCTAACAACTTCAAAAAATGGGAATGAGATCAACTTATATAAATATATTGGTACATTTATCATTACATTAGAACATCATAATCAATCACAAGAATCTTCAAGCTTTCACACAACAATTGAAGCAACTGAAAATGCTTTTCCTTGTCTGTCAAAAAAGAAAAAAAATAGAAATAAAATGATTGTAAAAAACAAAAAAATAGGTGCAAATTTTCACCATGAAGAAGCAACTCAATTAAGTGAAGCATAAATAGCATTAAGCATATATAGTCTTCAATCCTAATATGCTTATCTTCTTTATTTTCTTTTGTATATACATTTTTTTCTGAAACTCACTTGCTCGACTAATAATCTAGATCAGAAGGACACGTCAGAACTAGAGGAGGCGAATGTCCTTTATATAAGTTGTTTATCCTGTACGTGGAACTGATCGAACCAATTGAAAATTTGAATTTTTTAACTAACCTCTTCGTAATCCATTCAATAAGGTTAGAAATGGTTGGAACCAATCATCAGAAGTGCAAATAGCACAACAAAACCAAAAAACAAGTTTCTTAAATATTAGAAAAAAATTTTATAGTGGAAGAAGTAATCAAAACAATTTCACTAGTGACATTCCATATTAATTGTGTCCTCACCACCGCCTCCAACACACCTCATATTCACTTTCACCCCGTAACACCCATCTCCACCACCCCACGACCCTAGTCCTACCCCTGATCTCCATCTCACATAATATTTATCTAAATCATATACAAATATTTTAAAAATAAAATATTTACCAACTTATCGAACACAAAAAAATAAATAAAAATTTGACTTATTTTTATGATGAAAAACATTTTCCATCCAACCAAACACACTGTGCTGATAGAACCACAGTTTTTCACCACAAGTCAGATACTACCTAACTTAAGTAATAACAATATATATAATTGAATGTGCCTTGCTAAAATTACAACACTTGCTCAAACAATTTTTCTGGACAAGAGAAGTTGCTTACCCAATAAGGCATTGCAAACATCACTTTCTTGCAACACAACTTGTGTTGTATACAGATATCATGTGATATTGTACTTATGCAATGGCCACATGATCAAAATCATTTTGAGAGGAGCCACCAAATCACAACAAAAACAATATAATTTCACGAGTGGATCAAGATTGAATAAATTGTACATAAACTTTTGAATAAGATGCACATAAACTTTAATCTGATGACAAATTCAAAATTTTAATTAGGGGGATCCACCCCCTAGATCTTCCCTTAGACCTTATTCCTACCTTTGTAGGATAGAATCATTATTTCCGAAAAACTCTCAACTCAAGAGATTCTAGAAGTAGGAAAAATATAATAGCAATATACAAACCAATCACATGTACCCTCTAAATACTTTTTGCCACTCTTCATAAAGAGCTGCCAACTATTTGTCTCATCCATGTACTTAATGCCATTCCTTTCGTTTCACTTTATTCTATCATAGTTTGACTTGACATAAAATTTAATAAAATAAAAAAAAACCTTTTAATATTTATAATCTTAAATATGTAATACTATTTTTATGAACATAAAAGATTTAAAACTTATAATTTTGAACACGTCGTAATACTTGTGTCATGTGTGGCCATAAAAATTTCTCGTTAAGGAAATATAGAAATCTATCATTTTATCGGAAAAACTAATAAAGAATAGTGCCAAGCAAAGTACACTACAAAAAAGGCCTAATTAGTAAGTAAGTACCAACTAAAATATATATCCGTTTTGTAAATCGATCAAGTTTGGTTGGTAAATTGAGTTACTAGTACCAACGAAAATTAAGCCGTAGGCTTAAGGCTGGTAAATTTGGCCAACCAATTTATAATCGTTGGCAAACTCACTTTCTCCGTCTCAAATTATCTATCGTGATTAATTTTTTAAAATATTATCTCAAATTATTTATTATTTTCAAAGTTCAAGATAAATTATTATTTTTTTCATTTTATCCTTAATAGTTATTGTTCTTGAAGACTACAAACACTTCAATTATGAGTGATGTTATGATTGTTCAATGCTTAGCTAATTAATAACTTCTCATTATTAATGTTTTTCAAAGGTATGTGTAAAAGAGAACCACGATAGATAATTTGAGACGGAGGAAGTGCTAGTCTGTGCTGCTTGGACACAACAAAATGTTGTTATATTCGTGTCCATCCCCCGAAAGTCAAGTCTACTACTTTTGAAGATTCACAGATATACTTACCATATTTTCGCAGAGTTCGAGCAACATAGCTACCAATAACTATATCAATACTCAAACCAAAAAAGAGGCTACACAAGACTAATTAAGCAAAAAACAAGGATATATAAATGAATTAATTAATGTCACAAAATCTTACATGAGTTGGAGAGTGTTTTTGATGGTAAGTTTGATCATTGCTTTGGGTTGAATGGCTTGTATTCACATTATTATTACTTGTTGTTGAGATGGAATTGAATTCTTCCTCATTTCCAAGACTAGCTCTTGACTTGTTTTGTTTCCTATTCTCTCTTATTTTTGAGAAATCCATTGAGTAGTCTGGTAATGCTCCTTTTTGATCCCAATCCCCAAATTGTGGCACTGATAGCCATGGTGCTGCCTTCTGCTAAAAAAATTGACAAAATTTATGGTCAATCAAATGCATGTTAACAAAATTATTCTTTCGATCAGAAGTGTTGCTCGGATGGTAAGTATCGTCGCTATAACAAACAGAGATATTTATCGATAATAGATTTTACTTTTAGTGGCATTATTTTGTTGCGGCAAAAACTGTTAATTAGCTGTATTTGAGTTATTGATATTACATCCATCAGAGTGTTGCTAAAGCTTTTAGCAACATTTATATAAAGTGCTCGTTAGAAATACTCATATTATATTATTACGATAAATAATTGCCACAAAATCTTTTATTTTGTTGTAGTACCTTCACCTCCGATCCTGAGATTGTAGGTTTAAATCACCAAAAGAGTAAAAATGCGAGAGATCTTAAGAAGAGGTAAAGAAGAAACAAATGATTTACTGAAAAAAAAGTATTCAAATTCTTCAGAATATTGTGTTTAAGTTATTTACCCTTTACTATTTCAAAATATTTGAGGTTTTAAAAAAATAAAAAAGTATTCAATATTATTTGACGTTTTTAGAAATAACTTGAAAACAATATTTTTCAGAAGGTCTAACTTAAGTATTCAAATTTATCACGCCAAGTGATATATAGAGCAAGTCATATATATTACTCCTTTATTCTTTAGCTTATCACATATTCACTAATAAACTTATTAATTAATTACAAGAAAATATTTTAAAAAAAATATGTGCATTGTAAATGGTCCAGCTGGAACAGCTAGTACATATATATTTTTCCTTCAATTCTATTGACATTTGCATTTTCAAATTTTTGTGTTGATTTAGCTTTACAATTCAAAGTCTAAATTTGACTAAACGTGAGCCACAAAAAACTTATTTTAAAAAAAAATAGATTTAGATGGAAGAAAAGAAATAGGAAATTATAGTCATGACACCCATAACTTTTTCAGACAACCCAAGAAGAAGAGATGCAATACTAAATAAGTAAACACACGAAAAAGTTAAGTTGAGAATTCAATGTTTACTATAAATATATTAAAATTAATTTTAATTATATATATATAATGTAATTTTTCACTGAACCTTTTTGACCTTATTTAACTCCGTTCTGCTATGTCGGGAAAAAAATTCTTGAATAATTAGAAAATTACACATACAAATACTCTAGAAGATTTAAATTCACCAAATTGATAAAATTCTTGAATAATTAGGAAAAAGATAAGTGAAGAAAAGAAAAACAAGAAGTTGGAAAGAAACCTAATTAAAGAATTAATAGAGCTATGGGCGGAGGCGCGGAGCTAGGAGGTACAAGAGGATCGATGAAAAATTACATTAGTATATACGAATTCAATTATTTTTGTTCACATACAAAATGTAAATGGTAAAAAATCGATCCAATTCTTATGTTAATATCAAGACAATAAATATAAAATCATGTGTTTTATATAAACATTTATGTCATAACTACGGTTAAGTGATACAATTTCACATTATTATTACGGTGAAATTATTTGATTTGATACAAATAATCCATTGTGAATAAATATTTCTCTAGAGAAAGGTAGATAAAACAATAAAGAAAGTTCCAACTCTAAATTCCTACCAAAAAAAAAAAAGCAATAACAAGCAAAACTTGAGGTGGATAAAGAGTAAAGAATATAAAATATAACAAAATATAGACTTATTTATTTATTTTTTACCTCTTTCCGATCTTCCATTGCAAGCCAAATAATTTAGAAATAATTCTAAAGTTTAATTTATATGGAAAAAAAAGGGCAAGAAATGAATTGGTTAATATTGGTGTAGAGAAGTTGACAGAAAAAGGGGAAGGAGAAGGGGATTTTGGGGTGTTGTGTTGGTTATCAAGAAGAAATATGGTTATAAAAAGAAATAGAAGAAAACAAATAGGGCCTTTGGTTATGTCTAAATACAAAAAGTGTGTGTTCGGTGGGAAGAAAAATATTTTTCGAAATAAAATAAGTTAATTTTTTATTTAATTTTTTTTCTAAGTAAAAATATTTATAATAATTTTAAATACTATAGGAGGTTGAGATTGGGACCGGCGTGAGTGAGGGGTGTGGATGACTAATGAGGTCGAGTCGACTAAGTCTGGTGAAGATATGGTGTGTTAGAAACCTAAGAACACATTTGTTTTACCTATTTATACTATAAAAAATATTTTTCTTATTTTTAGGTTACAAAATATTTTTCTAAAATTTTAACAAATTTGGAAAACATATTTAAAAAATATCATTGTTAAATAATAAATTTTTTATTTAAATGCTTATTTTTTATACAATATCTCCCCCTTACACACATTGTAGACCTCAAAAAAATATTTGACAAAAATATCATAATTCAACTACCACGTGTGAACTGTGAATGAGCGATAAATAAATTATAAACTGAAAATAAAAAATAAAAAATAAAAAAATCATTTGTGTGATTTGCAGGTAACAATGGCGTTCTCTGCAACTCTTCGATGTTCGTCTTCTCTATACCGCCCTTCGAAAAATTCAACAATTTCAAGCGTTTTGCGTCAATCGTCTTCTTCACTGTCTTTTAGATCTTCGCCTTCATTTTTTAATCGCAAAAAAACATTGTCTATTCGATCTGCTACACTTGAAGGTAATCTTTTATATACTTGAATTTTGATTCAATGAAGTGAAGGAAACCAGAATTGATTAGGATTTGTTTAATTCATGTTTGAATTAGAATTGTAGTTAAAATTATACATGAATAGGTATTCTAATTTCTAGTTAAAGTAAGTTTTGAGTTATTATGAATAGAGGTGTTTCTAGCTATTTTCTCATAGCGAAGATGAGTGGAGAGGAGAATAGTAGTGAAGAATAATGGAGATTATTGATATTTTGAGTAAATTATTTACCTTCACTAAGAACGAAGATTGAAGTTTATGGGTTTGGGATTCTAGTTTTATTAAGTTACTGAGTTCTAAATTAATATTTTGCACATGTTTAATAATAATAGTTTTATTCACTGAGTGTGTTGATGTTGTTGTAATGAATTTTTGGGAAGAAAAAAAGGTTTGAACTCTGGCAGAACCTTTATGCTAGGCTTTAGCTCCGCCCCTGTCTTCACTATTTATTTGCGTTTAGCTAAGTATAGTCAATTTGAAGGATAAAGGAGGAGATTTGTGGTGTATTTATGGTTAGAGTTGAATTAGTTAAAATTAGTTAAATTATGGTAAATCGTCCGATTAGTGAATGATATGGGAAATTTGTATAGGCTATCTTGGGTTTGAGGAGTAGTTGATTTATTGATTACAGTAAATACGAAGGATATAAGCTGTAGACTGTAGTTCTTTGATTGATTATGCTTGAAGGAAGAAGGAAGAGAATTTTTGTAAGCTATGAAGAGCAGCTGAGCAAGGTCTGTTGCAATTTCTCGTCATGCTTCTAGTAGCGAATACGTTGTAAATTTCTATTGGAATAACATCTCACCCTTGAACTGTCTGTTTTGTCCCAAAATAAGCCTTGGAAATGATAGTTGTTGTGTGAAAAACTTGGGTTTAGGACTTTGTCCTGACAGTAATATACTGGAATAGCTGAAATTGGATGACATTAGTTTTTTTCTTGCTTTAGAGGTCATTTGTGAAAGTATTTTCCTAGATGTGACTGTACATGGTTACTAGCTAACAGAAACATTATCCTTTTGGAAAGATAACAAACAAGAATCTAGGTTTGATAGTGTTTGGACATTTTAACGTGAATCTGTGCCTGTAAATAGTCTGGAATTCAGGAGAGACTATCTGGTTGATTTTTGAGTTGTCCACGTCAAACTTCTCTGTGAGATACTAGAATATGGGATTTGCTTTTGATATTTTTCGAGGTGAGGAACACTAATTTTTGCATAACATTTAGAAATAGATCAAAAATTGAAAATTTAAAATATAAAAATATATAGATGAAAATTGAATATAAAAGAAAAGAAGCACAAAAATTGATTTAACTATCTAGTCAGATTAATGTGTATATTATATGAGAACTCTTTGGAAAAGTAACCGTTCAAGGTACTTTGAGGAAGGTCTATTACCTGTTTCCAGATTAACCAAACTTTTTGAATACCGTAGCACATTCTTAGGAGAGTTTGAATGTATCACTTCAGAAACGCGTATCAGGAAGATTCAGACGATGTGCTTTCTTTTTCACTTTCCATCATTTAAGATAAGAAGCTGTTTAAAGAAGGTTAAGTGCCATTGGGAAGAAATTGATCAGCTTTGATCACCTTGCTTGAATTTAATTGGTTTTTCTGTTACCTCAATTCTAAAATAAGAAATTTGGATTTTGGGTCGATGAAGTGATGAGCAAGTTGATAAGAGACGGCTGGTAGCAGAATGTTTCACTAAAACCATCATAAAGGAGGTCAAGGGCCTCAGGGCTTGTATTGGTCTGATTATCTCTTCTGTGCTTAAAGCAAGGATGACTTTACTGGCTTTGTACCTTTCATTCATTGAAAGAAAATCATGTGGTGCTTTTTAGGGCACTTAACTTTAACAGCAGGGAAAATGAACAGTCTAATAATAACATCGAAATTTTTTGGGATGTGGGAGTAGAGCCTGAATAGAACATTCTCATTTGTCAAATGATCTTGTAATAAATACTGCTGCCTCTTTTGACACAAGATAACCTTTGTAAATATTCCTGGATTACGACTATAAAACTTATAGCTTTTTGACTCATTTTCTACATTACAAAACTGAAGAAGAAATAAACTCAAAGTTTGTATAAATGATGGTATTATTGATATAAATATGGCTTAAGTTGGGATACCCTACCAAAATGCAGAGAAAACAATTTAGCTAACTTCATGAAGGCAAAACCAATTAAATATGCAGTAGCTATTCTAGAGTTAAGATTCTTTCGTTGCTTTGTTCTTTTTCTGCCAGATGTCATTTCAAAGTAGTGCATATTTACTAATTTCTCCTTCATCAACACCAAATCTTGCTCAAAAGGCTCTGATCTTTGAAGTTATCTTACTTGCTCGAACTAGACTAGAATAATATCAATGAACTAATGAGGGAAGTAATCATTAAGTTACCTTGACGAAGTTCCATATACTCCTGTCAGATTAGCCAACTTCTAAGCGATTGAATAAAAGTTGAAGAAAGAAGAGTAATCCTTTTTATCTATGAAGTTTAGCTTAGACTGATATTTTGTGAATTATATCCATGCTTCTGCTGTAAAGAAATAATTTATATTCATCCTAGTGTATGTTTGGGATTGAAGCGTTGTTATTGTTGTTGCATTTCATCCTGTACCTCTATATCTGTATGATGTTGGGCTAAATGTGGAGTTTATGGTGTTAATTTCATTTACATAAAATTCTAGTATGATAGTGAAAGAAAATATAAAACAGATATTGAATGGCGAACTTGATAGGAAAAACATCACAACATGTGAACAATGATTTTGAAATTTTGGAAGTTACCAAAGTTGTATAGAACAAAATTTATTTGTGGAATGGTGTGAAACATTTTGCTATATTCCAAATGGAAGAGTGTGAAGGATTCAAGTAGACTGAGATGGTTGAATCAAAAGTTCTCTCGATTGTCCGAATTTGAGTACCATAGCTTACTCAAGTAAGTTTGAGTGCTTTACTTCAAAGCCTTACAAGTTACTCCCTTCGTTCCTATTTATATGTCGTCCTTACTAAAAATGGATGTTCCTTAATACTTGTCATTTCACAAAACCAATACATAAATAACACTATTCTTCCTATTTTATCCTTGTGAGTTATTAGCCTTGAAAGTAAGAATTTAACCAACATAGGAAAACTAAATGATTAATTCATATTCATTGGCCAATTTAATTAATCAAAATAAACTAATTTATGTTCATTTATTGAAAACTTGACTTCAAGAGAAACTAAATAAGGTTACAATGGTAAACTTACATAATTTCTTGTGAAATCTAAAATGGTGACATATAAATAGGAACGGAGGGAGTATATGAGAAATATTCAGACATTATGTTTACATTTTACGACACTTAAACGAAATCCTACTTCTGTCCAAATCATTACTTGCTCTTACTTTAACAAAGGGGATGCATTTTAATTGTAATTTTCTTTCAGGGTTTTATGTCTTCCATAATTATAGGCAAATTGTTATGAGCCATAAAACTTTAAATATGATTTTTTGAACTCTAACTTAGTTTATCTAGAATAACTAAATCACTTTCTTTTTTCAGAGTGAAAAATAGTAAAAGTGACTTTCAAGAAACAAACCGTGCCATCTTTAGTTAGGCCGAAGTAATAGTTAAAGCATGACATTGACATTATTACAGGCGATCTCTTTGGCTCTGATAAGTTGCTTTGGTTCTAATATATGCAGCAGCACCTGCATCTGGAGGAGTAGCACCTGCAATTTCCTTAACTGACAATGCATTAATGCACTTGAATAAAATGAGGAATGATCGGAATGAGGACTTGTGTCTTAGAATTGGCGTTAAACAAGGGGGATGCTCGGGAATGTCATACACGATGGAGTTTGAAAAGCGAGAAAATGCTAGACCAGACGATTCAATCATTGAGTACAATGGATTTGTTATTGGTATGTGTGAATTTAATTTCTCATTTTCTAACATGACAGTCTTGGTTTCTTTTGCCAGAGAATGAATATCTTTTCACACCAAAGTTAGAGCAAATTTGCAGTTAATTTCCGTTTGATCTGTGTCCTTCTGCAAACCCTTAACTCCTTAGCATGGAAGAAGATAAATTCAGTGAAACAACCATACTTGTGTTAATCATGATACTCAACCTTCACTGTAGTTGATGTGATAAGTTAGTCGTGTTCATTTAATGAGAAGACAATAAGATAAGTAAAAGGAAGTATGGTTGAGTGATTAGTTGGCCTGATAGATAAAAGAGGTGATAGATGCATTAGCAATTTAATGTGATGACCTCCATGTAAATTAAAGTGCAAAGAGTTTACAGGTTTTAACAGTCTTGTGGGGAAATAGAGAGGGGAGATCACTGCTCAAATGAAGTATAACTTTGCCATATAAACAATTTACAGAGTTTCACTTCACATCTCCATTGAAATTTTCACCGGACCTGTGCATAACTGGAGCTTAGTGCACTGGGCTGCCCTTTCTTTTCCATCGAATTTTTACTTTCAGGGATCTATCTATGCTTCATACCTCGAAACTTGTGTGCTATGTAAAGTTACTTGATTGATTATCTGATGCTGCTTGCGGTATAAAAAATTACCTATATTTAGCTCTTGTATGCTGCTAAGGCCTAGCAGTCTCATGCTATACCCATCTACTTAGATAATTTAGTTCACTTTCAGATGGAAGTTCACTGTGAGACAAATTATAATACCCTTGATTCAGTAAGTTCGCCTTGCCAATTTGTGCGGCTTCTTTTTACTCATGAAGTAGTTAAAGCTTATAGTGTTGGGTCCATACAAGAAACCAGTACTATTTTGCTCTTATATTTGTATGCTATGCGTGCTAGCTACTTGTGTCTGTTTTCTTTTCCACTGATTATTGACATTTATTTAAGAAATTTTTGTTGCATCGACTCTTTCTTGCAGTTTGTGATCCAAAAAGCCTTCTCTTCATCTTCGGAATGCAACTGGACTACAGCGATGCATTGATAGGCGGGGGCTTCTCTTTCAAAAATCCAAATGCTACGCAAACTTGTGGTTGTGGAAAATCGTTTACTGCTGAGATGTAAGAGCATGTAGGCTTAGAAATGTACTACAACATTACATACTTGAACACCAACTGTAGTTTGCTTGGTCCTCTAGATATCGACAGACAGTAATGAAGATATGTTAAATCATATTATGTGCATAAGGGACTGTAACTTTTAAATATGTGTAACTGGGAATGCATTTTATTCTTCCTGCACAAAATACTAAACATCTATGCCATGTCGATTTATGCTTCGTGGGGCAGAGCCGCAAGGTAACACGTGAACTCAATAGTTTTTGCCCGGATTTTGTATATGTATTTTTAAAACATTATTGAATTTATATAAATGATTGTGAATTCAGTTATTATTGTATATTAACTTGAGCTCATTATAGTGACCCATAAATTTCAAATCTCGAATATGCTTCGTGGGGGCAGAGCCGCAAATCAATTGTCCTAATTTGGTCCATCATTGAAATGTATTTCCATTTAAAAACTGTTTTCTTGTAAATATATTCCATAGCACAGTAAAAGCATATTTTTCAGTAGGAAAAAAAGGAAGTAATAGTTGCAAGTAGGGGTGGGCATGGTACGATATTGATATTGAGAGTGAAATGAGAGCGTTTTGGGTATGGGTAGAAAAGTAGGTGGGGTTGATTTAGGACTAGAGACTAGACTAAGAGCCCGTTTGGATTGACTTATTTTAGGTGCTTTTAAGTCAAAATAGTTTTTAAGCAATTTTGAAGTGTTTGGGTACAGTTAAAAAGTGCTTATAAGCACTTATTTTAAAGCCAAAATAACAAAAATAAGCCAAAAGCCATAAGTTAGAAATCTGAACTTATGGCTTTTGGCTTATAAGTCATAAGCCAAAAGCAAATCCAAACAGACCATAATTTTTTTGGTTCAATAAGGACATGGCACATGACTTTTTAAAGCTGAAAATAGAATTTTAATGATAAGAGTTAAGTATAGCTTTGAAGTATGACGATAAAGATATATTTATTGAGAAAGTATAACAAATGACAAATATAGCTTATTTTCAAGGTAAATAACTAAATATAACCCTTCTTTGAAAATAGAAATGTGTAATTTTTGGGATTGATTAACAAAGAAAGTTTGTTACATAAAATGGAATGAACTAATTACAACTACTTATGAATTATGATAAGATACCCTTTAATGGTATTAATATAATATATTTATTTAATTATTTCAATTTGTTTGTGATACTTTCTTTTTTAATCTATTTCTTAAAAAATATCCTTTTCTTGATTTGATAACTCTTATTTTTTAGCATCTTATATGATATGTTTATGATCACAAGATTAAAATCTATTTTACTACATCATACGTAACAAGATAAAAAATCTCTTTATTTTTTTAATATCGAATTCGATCAAATAAAGACAAACTAATCAAAACGAGAAATGAGTATATAATATAGTATAGTACATAAAACTTAAGAGGCGAGATTAAATTATTTCAAAATTATTTTCCAAAGATCATAATGTCTAAATTAATTTATCTCATTCAGAAAGTGAAATAAATAATCTCAAATTAAATGAGGTACATAAAACTTAAGAGGCGCGCTTGATACATGGATTAAATTAATTCAAAATTAATGTAACGCTATTTATATCGTTAGTTAAACACAATATAAATATATTTTCAAACTTAATTTTAAAATATATCACCTTATCCCGCGTACCAAACAACTCGTGATGGATCATGGATGCCGTACAAGTATAGCTTAAACCCCCCCTTTATACTTAAAAACGAAACAAAAGCCCTCAGTTCTCGGAGGCAATCTGCGATTTCCTCGTTGTAATAAATGCCCAACATTTCTATATAAGCAGTTACTACATTGAGTACCTCATTTGACCGGCGACACTCTCAGTTCATAAATTTCCGGTCGATTACAACAACGTACGATGAACAATTCTCAAGTTTTCTAAACAAATTTTACTTGATTTACTGTTTTTTGTTGTTGTTAATGATTTTGATTTGTTGATTAATTGTTTGTTAGCAGATTCAAATGGAAGAAGGGGGAATTCAGTCAAAGTATGTAAAATTAACAAAAGATCAAGCACCTCTTGAAGAAGACATTAAGCCTGGAGAGCTGAATCAGCCTATTCATGTCCCTCAGGTTTTTATCTCTCTGATCTGTTTTTAATTTGTTTTCGTAGAGGCAAATTTAAGATTTGAACTTTTTTGCAATGGGGTTGTGGGGTTGCATTTGCTTTTATGTTTTTTTTTACTAGATCTGCCTGTGATTGCTGATGGGTGTGGGATGAAATGTTCTAGTTCAATTTATCTTATTGGATTATTGTGTATGAGTGTTAAAAATTGGATCTTTTTAGGATTTAGAAGTATTTTGGATTAATCTGTGTGAGAAACTGTAGGGATTTTAGCTTCTTGATTTGTTGCTAGACAGAAACTTTGTACATTTCCTAATAGGTGTGATTATAAGATCATGTGTTTTACCCAATATTTTCTGTGTTGGATACGTTTATTTTGAGACGAGGATCCGTTGGAAACAATCTCTCTATCCTACATAGATAGATGTAAGGTCTGGTATACCCTACATTCTTCAGACTCAACATGTGGAATTACTGTGTTGTTGTTGTTTTGTGTTTCGCCCAATACCTGTGCTGGTGAGATGTTATGAATCAGCTTGGGCCCAATGTCACTACTTACTCGGATGTCACACAACTAATTATTGGGCCGAGGCTGGGTCCCAAATCAACCTTTGTGATAGCCTTCCAGTTATGTTGCTTCTTCTCGGCCCAATAATTAGTTGTGTGACATCCGAGTAGGTAGTGACGTTGGGCTGAGGCTGATTCATAACATGAGAGTAGTAGATTGGGGTTGTGTAAGTAAAGAGGGAAGGGGATTTAATTGAATTCTCCTCGTCTAAAAATTATAGTATCCGAAAAAGGATAACTATAAAATTTGATTGTTATATGAGCCGTCGAATCCCCTTATATAAGTACAAGTTCAAATTCCTATCATGACACTCTAGTATTTCTTTTTTCGAGTGAATACCTCAAAATCCCCCTAAACTATTCAGTGTAATACTTGAAGTGGCCTCATTCTCTTTGAAATGTGTGAGAGCTAGAAAATAGGCCAAAAAGAGCATTCTTGTGGGATTTCCATTCTTTTTTATTCTTTTTTTTGGATTTCCATTTTCTTTTTTACTACTTATTCGTTTTTTTCTCTATTTCTGGTATACTTAGTTAGAAAGACATAATCCACAAACGTGCACAACATTTATTTCGAGGTGGCTAGTGGTTTGGGCTTGGGACTTTAATCTTGGAGTTCTCAAGTTCGAAACTCCTTGCCAACGAAAGCAAGGGGTTTGCCTTCTGGGTCGAGCTCATCGCATTGGGTTTGCCTAGTGCGGGTTACCTCTCCTGTGTAGTTTGCAATTTATTGCATAAGAGCGCGGGTTTTACCCTGTGCACGCCCAAAAGGTAGCGGCGACTAAAGAGGACTGTTTTAATATTCAAACTTTCAGTAGGGTTTATTATTATTGAGTAAATTTTATCATAATTTGCAATTAGGTTTACTGGTATTGACTTATTTATTTTTTTTGCTTCTAGTTTAATGATATGAGTTTTCAATTGAATTTGCTATTAGAAATTTCTTTTATTAGATATTGAAGAAGAAGAAAAAGAAATTACTCAATTTAGATAAGTCAAGAAGAAATAACAAATAAGGAAAATATTGTTTTACGCTTTAGTGTACAATTTTAATTTTTTTGTTAACTTTTTAATATATTGTATGTTTTAGAGTTATCTTTTTCAATTGAGTTTATTGTTATGATAAAATTCATTCATGATTTTTAACAAGATTTCTTTTTCTGATTATTCTTTTTTACTACTACATTATTTCAAGGTTATGGTTTTTAGTTAATCTAATGTTATTAACAAAAGATGTAGATATTTGAAGAAGAAAAACTGAATAAGAAAAGAAGAAAGCTAAAATAAAAAAAATAAAAAATTGCCACATGGATGCCTTTTTGGCCTATTGTCTAGCTTCCACACGCTACAAAGACGGTGAGACCACTCTCCATGCCACTTGGCACTGCAGGGGTTTGTAGATAGAAAATGTATAGTTCACGGGGTTAACAACAACACCCCATAATTTAAGTAGTGAACTGATAAAACTTGAATAATTTATGGGGTTTTGAGGTATTAGTTTTTATTTTTGGTTCCCCTTAAATAAGTACAAGTTCAAATTCCAATAATGTTTTTATTAGTTCTTTCTCTGATTGCTGACGGGTGTGGAATTAATGTTTTTGAATTAATTGTTCTAGTCAGTTTATCTTCTAGGCTAATGGTATAAAGGTCTTAAAAAATGAAATCTTTCCAATTCTTGTAAATTAGCAATATTTCCGATTACACTGTGTGAAAAAAATGTATGGATATCGCACCCAAGGGTATAGAGTATTGTTCAATGAAATGCGTTGAGAACCATGAGGTCGGGTATAGCTTGATTAGCTAAGATGTGCTCAAGCTAGCTCAATCACTATGGTTATAAAAAATGAAGTGTGAATATTTGCTTCTTGATCTCTTGATAGACAAAAATTTGCACATTTCCTAATTGGTATGTTAATTAGATCCTCTTGGTCACTAGAAGCCATCAAATCTCCGAACTCCAAAGTTAAGTGTGTTTAGGTGAGAGTATTGTTTGACTCTTGTTACAATTCTATCTGGGCTGCCCTAAGATGGATAAGCCGGCTAGGGAATACCTGTCAAAATTGTAAGGTCCACCCTTATAGGACCTTAATGCCGAGCATAAGAGTGCCCTTGGAAGATTGATGAGAATCCCTTTTTCATTAACACCAAGCTGCAGAAATTCAAGACTGATGCATATTTGTCATAAACTAGTTTTGGATCAGTTTGGTGAAACAGTAGGGTATAGCATACTAAAATCCTTATTCTGCAGGTTTAATGATCTCTATTGAGTAGTAGCATAGTTGCATATCACCAACGATTGCTTGTACCTCAATAACTAGAAGATATGTCAAAAATATCAATCTAACAAGGTACTGTTGATAGTACTGAAGCTAGTACAGAACAATATAACAGTAAGAAATAAGAATGAGAAGTAAACTTAAAAGCCTTCGCAGTAAATTCATTATCCATCATCTCCAATATTAAGATAAGCATCATCATCATCATCAGAACATTTTAAGTTCTTCGCATTGGCAGTTGCTGAACTCCAAGTCTCCAAGCTAAGACAGACACAG